CCCCGGTAATCTGACAATGGAAGGATGGGGACCTTGCATTTGTTCAGCAACCGACCGATCCCACGCTGGTCTGATACGACATTGCACGGGGTTTCCCGGGCGATAATTGATTGGTAGGTCATCTACGACGTAAGAGATGGATAGATAATCAACTCTTGGCGGGAACGAGGTGGAGGTTCATCCACAGCGATGCAGACATCCCACGGCAGTGGGCGTCTCCCGGTGGTCCTCACGAACCAAGCAGGTTGGTTCTAGTATCCTACCGTCGAGGTGAGGACCGATGGGATGGGGTCCAGAGATGACATCATTGCCTTGTCTCAGGATCCGAGTTTCGGTCCGTCATCAGGTTGGGTGAGAGGGACTAAGTGATCGTCCCGACCATCCAAATTCCTTTGGATTTAGGGTCTGACAAGATTTGTGGTGTGTTGATAGTGAGAGCTTCATGTTAATTAACTGACAAAGTTCGCCGATCCGTACTCTCAGGATGATCTCCGTCAAATCCTACTAGGCGCGGCATCCGCCTTGGTCGATCACTACCCACCGTGTTGCGTACTTCTTCTGTACCTTTTGGTCTTTCTTCATCCTTTTTATCGGGTGCACCAACCACATTCCTTCTTTCGCTTCTGAGACCCACCCACCTCGCCCATCATTCCCTCCTCGTGTCACTAACGTCTTTTGTGGTTGGCTGTTAGCGGTCTGTACCCACTTCAACGTGTACTTGAAAAAAGAATGTTCCTTCACATCGAGCCCCGATGATGCCATTCCTCCGAGAGCCTCGGCGTACCCGCCTACTCCACGGTACTATTCCTTCGCCTTCCTCCCCCCCCCAAGCTTGGAGCTTGAAGCAGGGATTTTATCTTGTAGAATGTACTATCTGCTTTACGAGCTCGGCATCCTTCGTTCCTTCCGTTTTGCTCTTTCCCTGAACATTTGAGCCGGACCGATCTTCAATGCGAGCGTCAAAGTGTCTCGGACTATAACTGAAGCCCCTCACCCCCTCTTCCTTCCTCCCGGGTAACAAGCTTTATCAAATCCTACGCACATCATCTGCGCCTTCGTACATCGCGGATGGAAGAAACCCTGGACTATGATTGGCCCCATCTTACGTTGTCCATACTGACGGCCATAACCCACGACACATGGCCTCATACACAGCCTCTCTTCGCTTGATATCACCGCCGGCCCCCAAAGTCCACCAATCGATACCTCAGCGGATTCAGGTCACGAGCGGGGTCTGTCAGTTCCATTCGACTTTTCGACCGGTCGCCAGGGTAAGCAGGCTTCCGCACCGTTGGACCCCACAACGGACCCTAATTCTCCCCCCAACTGGGCAGTCTGTCTTTCCCCCTGTTATATGGTTGGCGGCGACTACGGTCCAGATACACTCGTCAGCGGGGTCAGAATTGTCTAAACATTGGTTCGAGAAAACGACGTCATCTGCCAGAGATGTGCCACATCACCATCTCGCCGCCTCTTAGACACCGGGCGGCGAAGACTGGCCTGCAACGGTTTGGGCCCCGATTCGCCAGGTTCCTCGGCCCCGAAAAGGGGGCTCAAGGAGAGAGCCTTACGAATCGCCTAGCTCCAAGACGCGTCAAGTTAGGTGATTATTTCAGTTGATGTATACATCAATCATCCGATGTGGTGTAATGGTTAACATCGCCGTCTCTCACACGGCAGCTCGGGGTTCGATTCCCCGCATCGGAATCATTTCTTTTTTTTTAACATTTCTTCGGTTTCTTCTTGTTTCCTTGGATTTTTGTTTTTTATAGTTCGCTGTGCGCGTTTATTTTGACGCTCCTCCAGGGTTGATAGACTTCGTACGTCGACGCCGTCACATAGTGTCATATATTGATCCTATAGTCACGATGCAGGTTAACAGGAAATTGTGATGACCATGCATGATACCCCGTGGAGGCCCATTCCTGGCGTTGGTACCGCCACCGCCGCTCGATCCTCAGGTCAATGCGGAATGTTATCGAACGAGTACCGTTGACTGAAATCGTAGACTCCTAACGGAACGGTTGGCCGGCCTGGCCGACTGTCAATCTAGTAGGCTCTTTCCTGCAGGTCTTAGGGACATTGGTTGGCGCGGTGCCGATCATGCGCATACTCTCAATATACGAGTCAAAACTGATCAGCGCGCCCTAGGGATTTAGTCGATGTCTCATCTCCACTGAAGGATTCCCGTGAGGGGCCATTCTTGTCCGACATGATATAGTGGTCGGGCCATTTCAAGGCCACAGGATGTGTTAGCTTGCAAGAGGAAGTCATGGTTGCTGTCTGCATGCCAAGGAATGGCTAGAGCCGACGTGGGCTAACAGCGCATCATCATTCGTTACTGTCAACCGGATGAGAGGGGGTGACTTAGATGAGGGATTCGAACAGGACAGGTATCTACTCGTACAGATCAGCTAGGACCGTAGAAGATGATTCCCGGCCGCAACCCTTACCCTTCTAGTAGTCAATGACGTGGGCACCTTCGACATCTTTGCAACCGGGACCGGTGATATATCAGCCAGCGGAGGCATTCCCTTTTAACGGGAGTGATTGCCCCTGCATAAGAGGTGTCTGGGTCGGCAGCGCTGTACCTCAGCGTGACACTCGTACACTGGCTAGTAGGATAATCGCTGTATCCTAGTGGGGAACTTGCTGATATGAGTTCGTTCTCCGATCCTCGGCTGTTCGTAGAATACCAGGATTCTATTGTCACGGAATGCTTTCTCTGGCTTGGCGCTGTTGGATCAAGATGCTCCGTTTCACACAAAGCTTTCTCTGCTGATCAAGTCAATTAGGGTGATGTATACCCCACTTTCTGTGGGCTATTTCGTGTAGTCATGCAGGTCAATCTGCCTCCAGTATGGAGACTTTTGTGACTAGATAGGGCGGTCGATGTGAAATGAAGTGAATAGGCCGGACTTGGAAACCAGAATTGTCAGGCAATGTGGGCGGTCAGGTGACAGGCCACCACTTTTCGTCCGATTCACTCCGACGATTTCCTTCCTCAAGGACATGAAGCAGACGCGACCAGGGCGGTGATAACATTGGGAATCTCACCATTTGAGGTGGAGTAGTGGATCGAAAAATGAGCTCCACGATGCTGTCTCCGCCAATGCAGAGATATATATGTTGCCCTCAGTCGACAAGGATATCGCTTAGAAGCGCCAGTGTCGTCGTTTCAGATGGCCTACATCAAGCAAGTCATCCAATGCTTCTTTCTTTGCCCTATAGGAAAGGACACTAAGCATGGTGAATTGTTTTGAAGTCGTGATCGCAACACTTCAAACCGCGATGGTTGACATGGGTGAGAGCCACACATGCAGCAAGACTCATAATTCTTTGATCCTCCGGCTGTTCCAACCGCTAATCGAGATGATTGACTAGTAATCAGATTTCTTTGCAAAAAATATGAACTTCGCTGTTAGTTTGCGTCCTCGTTCTGCTGACATCTCGGGTGAATTTCAGGGTGGATATGCGGAGATCGGACATACCACAAAACAACCGTGCGTTCGCGGCTCCTGGTGGGCTGATCATTTAGGCCATACATCGTCAAATCCAGGATCTGAATGTGTAAAATGAGCCCGCACCCATCCAGGTCCAACAGCCAGAGGCCTCAGACAGATGCCATCCGAATGGTTGCCGTTCGCTCAATCGGGGTGTGGTCTCACATCGTGTTCCATGACGTGTTCGGTGCTATCTCCGCTATTGCTCCATTCCCTGCCGTGTAGCATTAATCCCATGTCTCGTCATGGGGACGGGACGGGTCAGGCATTCGTCCGACCGCGTCTCATCGACCCATACTCACGACCAAGATGAGAAGAAACTTGTTACCTGCCGCATCAGAGCAATGTCTGCATACAGTGTTGGATAAGTGATAACGTGAAGAAAACACAATTCCATTCAATACTCCTGACCTAGGTTCGTCCGACCTCGTTATGCAAGTATGCAAGCTATTTACATGATTATTTGTTGTTGGCTGCGGAAATGTCAATGAAGACATGGCCAAGGGGACCCGCCTGCGGGCTCCATCCGCTGTATTCTATCTTGTATTTCTTATCGCTCTCCGAGATCTCGAACTGGTTGTTCAGGATCTTCTCGCGATTGTCCCAGTGCAGCTCGCAGATCTTGGACTCGCCGTCGTACAAGTCCAGCCATCCCTCGCTTCCTCGGCGACCACGAGCGCAGACCTCGCCGATGCCCTCGGAGGGAATGGTGAGCTTGTCAATGTCGTCCTCGGTGAGGGCCTTGCTCTTGTCATCGGGAGTGTGGAAGGCGCCCCTGTAGATGGACATGGTCAGTACATTCCATCACTATTTCTCCGTGTTCTTTTCCTTGTCAGGCGAAGGAAGAGCTTACTCGTAGAGAAAGGCATCCTTGATGCTGATCTCACCCTTCTCCAGACGGTCTCGAATATGAATCGAGACCCACTGTGCGGTGTCCATCTTGACGGTTTGAGGTGGTTGATAAAGTGATATAGTGTTTGTTGATCAAAGTATGATCTGTATGATGAAAAGCCAATCTCCCGACAGGACGAACAGACAGCTACTTATAGACCTTGGGCGGGGGAGAGTGGTACCACCCACGGCGGTGGTGTGTTCTGGGAGGCATGATGATTCGCGGAGGCAAGTCTCAGGTGACAGAGGGATGGTGAGGTCATTCAACTGGGCTGCATCAGTCCACATCGCGCATGATAGGCCCGCCACCCTCCCTAGTGAAACCTAATGGCATGATGGTCTGGGGTTGGAACTTTGGAAGACATCCGAGAATGCGGGGAAGCCCCATTCATCGTCTGTGGTTCAGCCGTGGCAATTAACCTGCAGCGCCTTTTGCTACGCACCGGGTGGGAATTCAGGGTACAATTCCATCCCTTTGATCGATTGACGCGCTCCTGCCGTCCTCGTTTCACCCCCTCATTACGGGGTCTTCTATGACGGTGTCTACATGAATGAGGACCATCTTCTCTTCTAATTGAGGGCGATTCTGGGTTATATTCATGAGATGAAAACCAATCTCTGGATTAGATTCTGGGTTTTCCCCCCCGAGTGGGTTTAGCCGTCCAGTGCGTGCCCTAAATGCCACCTTTCAAAAGCGGACATCCCATGACGAGTCGGACAAGACAACAAACGACGTATGCAGCAGCGGCTTCTAACCTGTCTCGATGGTTTGGTAATGCCTGCGATTGGTGATACAAGCTGGCCCCGCAATGACACGATCAGCGTCGTCTCCGCATCCCACTAACTACATCGAGGTGTCAGCTCAATGATTCTCTCTGCCGCCAGCTCGAAATCGGACTCCGTATGCAGATCCATCCCGGACTTTTGTATCTGCGGCACAACGAGAGTTAGACCATTGTCTCCAGTTGTCTCCAAGGGGGGACGCAGTGGCATACGATTTGCTGGGCCTCGTCGCTGTTGGTTCCCTGTAGGCGCACGACGACGGGCATCCTGAACCCGCCCATGGCCGATCCCGCGTCGACAATCGACTGAGCAATCATGTCGCACCGCACGATCCCTGGGTCCAAAGTGAGCATTCCTACGCGATGGTCCCCCTCCTGCGGGACACGTACCACCAAAGATGTTGATCCACATGCCCTGGACATGGGGATCCCGGTTCAGCATCTCTACGGCCTGCCGCAGGGTCTCCCCCGTCGCCTTGCCCCCGATATCTAGGAAGTTGGCGCTCTTTCCGCCATGTAAGTTGATCAGATCGTTGGTCGCCATGGCTAGACCGGCCCCGTTGACAACGTTGCCAATGTTGCCATCGAGGCGAATGTACACCAGCCCGTGTCGCGACGCCTCGTACTCCTCCGCCAGGTCGGGGGTAGGCTCCTCTAGACTGTACAACCCTTGCTGCCGGAATCGAGCAGCGTCGTCCAGATCAAACTTGGCGTCCAGGCAAACGAATCGGCCATCGGGGGTCAGGGCCAATGGGTTTAGCTCGAGCAAAATGGCGTCTTTTTCGACGAATAATTTCACCAACTGCTGGATGACCCGTTCGATTATGGGCATTTCGGCCGTGGAAAAAAGCAGCCTTGATCGGACGGCTGCAAGAAGGTCTGGCGTGACACCCCTGGACGGAGAAAACCAAAACCGGTGTAGTTGATCGGCCTTGAATTCCACGTTCACCCCGCCTTCGCCAGATATCAAGAGGACGGGGCTAGACTGTTGGCGATCGAAAGTGACGGCGACGTAATACTCGTGAGCCACATCCTCGGCTTTGTAGATATATAACTTCTTCACCAACAGGCCATTCGGCGGTGTTTGTTTGGTCGTGAGGTAGTGACCGAGCATCTTCGACGCATTTTCGAACGCCTCGCCCGGGCTAGTCACCATCGTTATCCAACAGACTCATGGTAGAGTTGGGAGAGGTGTAGGCCTACGTCGACACCATACGGACACCACCTTTCCCATCGGTATCGAATTTTCCTTTGCCACGTCCCCCCGCCAGGATCTGGGACTTCAACATAGATGGCGCACCTATAAATCTATTAGCGAGGTGGGGGAGATGCGCCTATCCCCTGTAGTCTCTCACCTATCGCTGATACGACCGACCGGGCATGCTCTGGTGTATCCACCACCACCCCAGTGGGCACAGGGATTTCATACTGACCCCGCCCTCGTCAATCTGCCGGCCTATGTGTCTGCTCGTCCAGGGGAGTGTCTTACCTGCGAGAGGAGCTTGTGCGAATGATACTCCAGAAGTGACAGGTGGCGCACTGGTTGCCTGAGGGCCTTACCGCACTGTGACATGTTGTGAGAAGAGAAGATAGATACGACGAGTATCTCATACATTTTGGAACACATGCCCGAGATGGCGACCTCGAAACATCATGGTGGAATACTGAATAGTGCGTGTGCGTTCACATAGTACGCTGCTGCGATTCTGCCAGAAGACACGATGCCTGTCTAGATAATATGATATCTGTCTCCTAAATATGGGCCATTACACCGGTGAACTGAGTATCTACTCCATCGAGTGGGTCAGCTTGTTTGCCATGCAGTATCCAAACCCGTGGCCTTGGTGGGTTTCCCCATGATTGAATACCGCTATCGTTGTTGCGCAACTGGAAGCGGAGAGTCTATGACCGATCATGACGCAACTAACCGACCCCGCAATGTCGGCAAACTCAACCACGACTGTTTCTATGGAATGATTCTCGAACACTGTCAGGATGACTACTGTTACCAAGGACAACCATTTATAAGAGAGGGTTTGTAGATATCCACGCAGGAGTGAGATATGTTAGTGGCGAAGATGATGGCTTAGCCTATTGTACATGTCGGTCTCGCAGGCACGTGAGGCTCTGTTATGCTCGCCAAACAAAGGACGGCGATAGATTGATGTCTCATTAGTACTCGCCAGACCATAGGATGGCCCTTGGATCATTCGGGGGGGGGGGGTCTTCTCTCAGCCATCGCTTATGATACGAGGACACTTCCGCACGGCATGTCTCGAGTCCACCGCTACTCATACGTACTGTACTCATGCGTGCTATCATGTAAATTTATCAGAAAAGCAGCTCAATGTATTAAATGACACAGCAGATAACATGATGTGGCTGGGGCTGCGAGAGGTAGCACGGTCCTGCGACGTGTCATGCAATATACATACGACGAAGATTTGCTCACGGCGACATTATCCAGCTCTGCTCAGCCAAACATGATAGGCTTGCACTCACCTTGGGCCGGAGCAGAAGTCAACTAAGAACAATTGCACGGCGTGCAGCTTCCTGCTGTCCAAGATGAAAGCTAGATATACCCGCGGAGCAGCGAACAATACCCGAAACAACCTCGGCTGACAGGCTAGTGCAGATCACCCCTGTGGCATATGAACCTGGGGAACCCCACAGTTTACGAGATCTCGATGAACTCTACATCTCACTTAGTACAACTGTTGGATCAACGTGTGGTGCAACGCGCAAGGCGAGCCGCTATTGTCCATAACATTTACCCCACCCCGCGTACCTGCCACGATGTCTGCGAACAAAACCATAACACTCCCTGTTTCGTATGAAGCATGTCAGCTGCCAATGGTTAAACTGTCGCATTATCCCGTTGGCACAACCGAATCGACACCCGTGATCATTGTGACTTTAAATCGGCCCGAGAAAAGTAATGCCTTCACCCCCGCGATGGCGGAGAGCCTCGAGCAGGTTTTCCGAATGTTTCATCTAGACGAACGCGTCAAGGTGGTGGTTCTGACTGGTGCCGGGAAGAGATTCTGCGCCGGAGCCGACCTCGACATGGGATTTGGGAATGGGGCCGGCGAGAACCCCCAAGATTATCGGGACACGTACACATGCACTACCCACCTTTGAAGACGCATGCTTCGTGAACGGTGACTGACTGTTGCTACGCAGTGGTGGCCGTGTCGCCATAGCCATCCACCGATGCCAGAAACCTACGATAGCTGCGATGCAGGGTTCCGCTGTGGGCGTGGGCATGACGATGACACTGCCAGCTGCCATTCGGTGAGTTCCAAAATCGGTCCCGGTTGATCCGCCTGCGAGGGAACCCTGACCAGATCAGCATCTGCCACGAGAAGAGCAAATACGGGTTTGTCTTCACGCGACGGGGAATCACCCCCGAATCCTGCTCTTCTTATTTTCTACCTCGCTTGATCGGCCTGTCGCGGGCCATGTTCCTCATCTCGACGGGGGGCGTCTACCCACCCCAGCAGCGATACTTTGGCGATCTATTCACGGAGACCCTCCCCGACGCGTCGCAGGTCCTTCCTCGGGCGCTGGAGCTTGCGGTCGACATGGCCGAAAACGTCAGTCCGATGGCGTTGGCCATGGGTCGATCCCTCCTCTGGGAGGGAGTGCAGTCGCCCGAGGAGGCGCATTTGTTGGAGTCGAGGGTGTTTCACCATATGATGGGGTTGAAGTACCTCTCTCGTCCTCTTGGTTGTATTGCTATGTGCTGACTGACGACGGCTAGGGACCATCACGAAGGAGTTCTGTCGTTTATGGAAAAACGGAAACCCGACTTCAAGGCGGACTTACAGAATCACTGGCCGGCGATTTATCCATGGTGGTATGAGGCGGATATCGACCCGAAGCACGCGACAAAGGGATCCAAGTTATGAAATCGACATTTCTCTTTCTTTCTTTCTTTTTCCTTCTTCGTTTCTTCTGTTTCTGTATGGCCCTTTTCGTTGTTTGGCTATTTTTTTCTTGGTTTTTTTTCCTGTCTTTCCTGCACCGAGGGATACTTTAGAGTTGAGGAACTCGAGTGTACATGTTTAGACACCCACGTGCGTGAAAAAATTTCAGCATTGTCAGTCCATAGACCAGACATCGAGTCGGTAAATGGGAAGACTTTTCCTACGTCATCACCACGGGGGAAGAATACGGCAAATCCTGATCAGTGGGACGATCTCCCAAACTCCTTGTCGCTGTCTACCAGCTTGCGCTTATTCTCAACACCTCCACCAGTCATTGACGACCGTTCGTCTACAGTAGCGTTAACAAGGACAGGTTGTGGAATTCCGGCTCCACCACCACCCAGACGCAATGTCCGGCATGTGCAGTGACGATCAAGAAGGATAGGCTGGCTGTGTCGGTCAACCATCGGGCGTGCTGGCAGTGTGGCTTGGGACTGTATGATATTCGCGGCCGTATGCGCCTACGATGGAGCCCACCATGCCGATCGTGGACGGTGGCGGATTGCTGTGATGAAGATTTTCGCGGATGTGGGTTTGTATCCGAGACACTCTGATACACGAATATCTCCGCCGTGTCATCTATCGGTGGGATCATAGACTTTAGTTCGGACCAATGTCACTACTTGGTAGAACCGTGATATGATGGATTATGAACTAGCCCAATTGGACCGCGCTTGCCGATTGATATCACATTGATATATCGAGTCACCATGATAAGATCAAGTCTATGGTGGTGAGAACGATGGGCTTACGATGATAGACTTTCCCCCCTCTCGTTAGTTTCAACCTAAATCAATGACGTGGATAGGTAGGCGGTTACAGGGGCCGATCGAAACGACGAAACGCAGGCTGTGGTGCTACAGGCGACTGGATCCCTCACTGTGTGGTCGATCATGGTGGTTGGGACCAATTGATAATTCTCACCGCGGCCACCTTGTTACACCCAGCTGTACTGAGTGGAATCGATGGTAGGCTGTGGCCGGAGATAGACCCCACTGGTGTATCATGTAGTCTCTGTACTGACCACCGTGTGTTTAAACGGGACGGTTAATCGTTCGTTATACGACTGCTGTTGGGATTCAATAGATGGATCAGTGGTCGCAGGGCGGATAGGACCCTGTAGCTGCTCGTCCGTTCCGTGACTCATGATATCGTCTGGGAATCGAACTTCATAGCTCTGGCGCTCGCTCTCTGCTGAGGCCAAGGCCCATATCTACGTCGGTAGAATTAACTACTGCTGACCGCTCAGACAGAATTCCTTATAAAGAAATTCAGGAGCCAACCTCAGACGCGTCTTGCGCATGCATTCGCCAAAACACGGGACAGGATCTCTGAAGCTCCGACATCTAAAAGATGTGGCCGACAATTTGGGTGGGGGGCCGCATCAGGGCGTACGTGGCGTGACGCACACATATACAAATCGCCCCGCCTGCGACATGATGCATCGAATGCGTCCGGATGAGAAAGATCGACCGGGCTCCGGGCCGAGACAGCAGGGACAACGACGTCAGAAATAGATGGCGGGATGTGGGTACAGAAGCTGCATGAGCGGCGTAACTGTGTGTATTGAATGATGCTGCCTGACGCAATGAAGGGGAGTGCTGACGATAAACTCCACGGACTGTATGAGCCATCACACACGGGAGACTGGAGTACCCGAACCAGACAACTGAGAATTGAATTGTGTAGTGGGTTTGACATTGTCACGACAGGATTTACAGTCGAGGAAACTCTCCCGACTCTCATGCAGTCTCCCGTGAAGGAGGGTGCACTCACCTGGAAATGATGTTTCTCAGCAGACACGCCACATTCCGTTTCCAAGCTACACGTGCATCACCAGCACGTCAAGAAGAGAAGCAATTCCGGGTCGCTGACGAAAAGAGTATGCATGGCGGACAAGTTTGCATTGTCGAAGCTGGCACCAACCATGTGAAGAACAGAGTTGTCCAGCGAGGGGCAAGTGTGGTGTCCGCAGTGGGTCCCTGAGCCAAAAAAGAAATTAACATGGGAATCAGTTAGATTACACATTAGATTTCACAAAATATGCATAATCGCACCCCACCGGGGAAGTCATCATTGCAGGGAGAGTGGGACCAGGTTGGGTTGAAGAATGATAGGTCTGAATCACAACGTTCATGAGGAGGTTATACAGTCGGTCTGGAGATCACCTGATGGCTGCGCCCTAAGTGGCACATCTCTTGGTTCTCACGATATTGTCTCCTTCCAACGGAGAATATCCTCCCATATGGTGGCAAGTACACGTCAAAACCGCTGATGCGGCTGGTAGTTAGTTCAACCAATCATCATCGATCCTCATTAGGTGTGTTTAGTTGGATCCTCGTGGATTGGGGGCAGTCCTGTGGCCAGTTGCAGGACAAATAATAAGCATGTCCGGGCCGATGAGAACCCACTGCGATAGGCCTGGCGACTCGCCTGTCACTGTCAATCGTTGCAATTCCTCCTGAGAACCGGTTGCAGCCATATTACAGGCAATGGACTTGGCAGTTCTACGACACGAATTCTCAGCCCACTGTCGCACAGATGTCGCCATGCGAAGTGGGATGGTCCAAGTAACAATTATGGAAGGCCGTCCGAAGTCAGGCAGCAGCAGCAGGGGGAGGCTTTTGGTTACTGACCATCAGGGAGGTCTAGACCGGATTGAAAAGGAGCGACGATCTTCAGTGGGGTCGTGGGTTCCAATTTTAATCCTACTTCTTTTGTTTTCTTTTTACTTTCTCCGTCTCTTTTTCGTCCTTCTTTTTTCGCTCTTCTTTCCTTTCTTGACGTATTGATTTTTGAACATATTCAATCATTCATCTATCAATCAACTTTAGCTTTCATATTTTCTGACTGTGTCTATTTCCATTGCTCTCGACATTCTCCTGGTATTGGTAGTTTTTGACGGGTGATTTGTTTCAACGACGGGACGAGCCGGTGGGGAGTATCATTGGAAGTAGCAGCTCTGGGGGCGCCATCAGGGCCCACCATAGCATGCTCCCAGCTCCGCCGCCCCCATTGGCCACCCAATGAACGCCCCGTTATGGCTTCCCGTTGGGCCAAGTCCAGACTACGACGATAATAGTATGATGACTACGACGACCCAGAAACCACTAAGAACAAGCTTTTTGGGCGATCCGCCAACCCATGCCAATCCTGACCCACCCGGATTCCATTGACGCAACCCCCTCTCCTTTTTGTGGATGGGACTCGGTCCCTCCTGGAAGCTTCTGCCGGGGAATGGAAGGTGATCGACAGAGTAGCTCTACAGGTGCCTCCCGAGACCGCCAGATGCCAAGGTCTGGTTCAACGATCCTTGGATCCATCCCACCGTTTAAGCTCTCACGCACTGGGGGGATGACGCCCAAGGAGGTTCTCATTGGCGGGGTTTCAAGAAGTGTAAGTCGCAAATGAGAACACAGGCACAGAAGGCAGAAGAGCGAGTCAACAGGTAATGATAGAGGAAACAAACAAGGGAGACGTTTGGCTCCATGCAGATGCCCATCAACCCTAAAACTCACTGACCACCAAGGTGTACGCAACAACACGCGTACACTGCAGACGAAGATGCCTCCCCCTGGCCCAAAGTTGATGCCAAGAGGAGAAAGGGGGATACCGAACAGTAGGTCTCTAAATAGTACGGCGTTGGTCAACCCACTAAACCGGGGGGGAAGACACCAGAGGATGCTTGGCTTGCCGATGGTCCGTTAGTCAGGGACCCAGTGGGTGTGATCCCAGTAGCCGATCACCTCATTGGAATAAAAAAGAGAAAAAACAAAGAATCATGGACATTCTCGACTCGAGATGGCTCAGGGACAAGGGTCCCCCCCGTTTCACTATTGGTGGACCGCTAAGAATAGAAAGTGGCCTACAACTACGATCCATCCAGGGAGACGAGAGAGTGCAGAGCGAACGTTGACTGGAGCATCAGATCTTCGGGATCTTCACGTAACAATACCATTACGGAGGCGCGATCCTTTCCCTGGATGGCCCTCCTGTGAGACATGCCACGGTTTTGGATTATTGGGTCCTGGCATCAGCGCGGTTCAGGTTGCTGAGATGAGGGCTGGCAGGGGCATCTCCCCAGATCCATAAAAACCCCCGATATCTTCGATGGATTGGAATCTTATCACTCGTTTTTCTTCAAATCATCCACTCGTTATTCTACTACTCCTCCCGTCCTATCTCATTCCATTGCCCCGACAGATCTAGAGCATCCCAAATCCTTTCGTTTCTTGCATCATGTTGGTTTCCTACACTGCCGTCTCCCAGCAACAGAGGCCGACGGTGCCGGCCAAGTCTATCTCGTCCGTCTCGCCTCCAACCTTTAACCTGGACACTATCCACCACATCGAGGAAGCCCATATCGTCCACCTGGCGCGACAGGTCGAGGTCAGCATGGATCTGTTCCCCAATGAGAATATGGCCGTCTACCGGGTGGTCGGCGGTGGCGTCTCGGCCGTCACCATCCCCTTCCTGGGTCAACAAATCAACCGCACCCTGGGGCTGGGTATGAAGGGTCCCGTCCGCGACTACGACATCAAACAGCTGGAGAACCTCAACCGGGCGGCCAACCTCTCCTCGTCCGTCCTGCTCTGCCCCTACGCCGACCCTAGTGCTCTCCAAGCCCTCGCCGTCTGCGGCTACGGGGTCGACAGCTTCCTCAACATCTACGCCCGCTCGCTCGCCGAGCTCCCCGTTGCCCGGGACCCCCGGTCCGACATGTCCCAGCCCTGGGACTTCATGTACAGCCCGGACACCTGCGTGTCTAGGGCCCCCGCCACCGAGGCCGGCATGGCGGCCTTCATCCACAACTCCGTCGCCGGCTTCAAGGATGGCGGCCGTCCCGTTCCGTTCCTGCGCACTCTGGCTGAGATGGCCGCCCTGCGCGCCGACACGGTGCTCTACCTGGCCCGCATCGACGGGGAGATCGCCGGGTGTGGTGCCCTTGCCTTCATGGAAACCGAGTACGGTCGCGTGGCCCATATCTACATCGACAGCACGGCGCCCGCGTTCCGGGGCCGCGGTGTGCAGCGCGCCCTAATCCGGGCCCGGATAGTCGACGCCAAGCGGATGGGCTACGACTTCATCACCATCCACGCCAGCCCCGGTGTGGGGACAGGTCGGAACGCCGAGAAGGAAGGGTTCCGGCTGGCCTATACGAAGCCCATCTTCACGAAGCGAGAGACCCAAAAGCTGTGAAATGGTTTCTAGCAATTTTCTTTTTTTTTTCCCTTGCGATTTGCGATTTGATTGTTGATTTTCAACTCGTCTATTGATACCTATTTCCTTTCTTTCTTTTATTATCCCCGGTTCATTTCTGGTTCTTTGTTCAGCCAGCCTGGCGAGATTTGATTCACTACCGATCAAAACCGGCGTTTTCTGCTTTCAACTGGTTTTGATGGTTTTCCTGTATATAAATTTTGGCGTCCTGGCATCCGAGACAACTCGATAGATAATTTCCTAGATGGAATGAACACACAGTGAAATGATTCTATATTACATGATTGTACATGATCTGTACGATATCTCCTTAGGCGTAGACTCGCTCTGAGTATGACCGGCCGTGTTGCCAAAGTGTCTGACAAACTCATCCGGATTACCGTATGACCAACTGTCGTGCGTCCTTGTATTGCTGCATCTACATCCTTAGGTCTGTCTACATTGGTTCCATACCATTGCATCACGGATCTTGTGGCGAACCATGGTAGCCGGATCGAAAACCACAATCGGGTACAGTGCGGGTCCCAAAGGTTATACTGGAGCCAGCCATCGGGCGTCGGTTATTCAGGTCCATCGCCTCCCGGTCGTTGAACCAGTAGAAGGCCAGCGATCCAGAGACATTCCAGTGCCAGTGGACGAAAGTCAACGGGCAGTCCCTGGTGGTTTTCGTGATCTGTCGTCATCCCGTGCCTCGATGACCGTCCGATGAGCACACAAAACAAGCATCATCGATCCCCACCCCCATGCTTGTGGGATGACCGGTCAGGCCACCACATGTGGTGGGTGCGAGGAATGTCATTCGAGTAGGGAATGATACAGTGACGAAATTCAGCGATGCATGCGATGGACGACCTCCATCGACATCTGCAAGTTCCATTCGCAATGCCAGCCTCACAAAAAAAAATTTTTTTTTACCATAGGCTAATCTAGTCAGGGGGTTGGAATGGATCTTTGAATTTGTCACGGTTACTGTTGTACTTTGTATAGAGTTTCCATTTTTAAAAGGGGGGAGGTGCGCGTCCTTGCTCCTGGAGGACGTGGTCGCTGCGTTCCGAGCGAGCATGTATGCCATAGTTTCTATATAAATCACCGATTCTATAAATTCCATTGTGTTGCTTGGGGATGTCTCATGTGTTTTTTTTTTTCTTTCTATTTCTTTTTTTAATGGTATTGTGATTTTCTATTTTGTTGTTAGGTGATGTAAGCACGCTGTGACGAATCCACCCTTGTGTCGGCGTCGTCAATCCGGATTTGATCTGCTCCCCTGCCCAGGATCTACAGGACCCGACGATCACCGCTCCTACTGACTCCTAAGCTCCAGTCACTAGTCGACACTACTGGCAGGGGGTTTCATTACTCGTTCCGAGACAGGTACAGCAGTAACACCTGCCAAGTGGTGCCTGAAGGCTCGGATAGTACTCCATAGAAGGGATGCCAAGCCAGTCCACACTTTATTCTAACCTTTACCCCCCGTAGATCCCCACTTCCCACGCCCCTCCTCTGCTGGGTCTAGATGATGTGATTGTCGATCATCACCCTGTTGATCGCCTCCCACTGGGTCCCCATCGTTTGTAATACCGTTGACCCATCTTGTCATTACACGGTGGAGAGCTCAGGACCCAGGGGCGAGGCGAGAGTGGAAGCAGGTGAGACGGTGACATATGCGCTGGCGTAGACTGTAGGGTTGGGATCGATGGGTTTTCAATTGTCAATTGGAATCCAAAGGGGATCTATAAAAGTCCCCTGGGATGGCATTTATGAGAAGTGTCAATGCATCCATTTTATCTTCTTTCCTCTTTCCAAGCGTCAGTCGTTCACCCTTAGTCTTCACTTCTCGTCTGTCTTTACTGAAACAACAGTTGAATTGTTATTTTCCATTTTTTTATATTATTTTCTGCATTTGTATTATCCTGTTGTTATCAGTTCTATCCTGCTATCAATTATCTTATTTTATTGTTTTTGAAGCTTCCACTATACCGGATTGGTCACCTGATTAGGGCATCGCATCATCATGGGGGAAGAAAATCGAGACAATTTATCCCACCTCCGTCCGGACACATCAGACACCCGAGATGGCTTGGTCAGTCGAGGAGGCATGTCCGATGTCTCGGTGGCGCCCAGTGAGGCGCCATCGACACAACCCATCATGCCCACGATCACTGAGAAACCGGTGATCGTGGACTGGGATGGCCCAGACGACCCAGAGAAACCCTTGAACTGGCCAAAGAACACGAAGACAATGATCATCAGTGCTGTCTGTCTGATGCGATTTACCACGTATGCCCTCCCCTTCCCTTGCCTTTGTCACTCGATGCTGACTGGTATAGTCCCTTGGCTTCTTCGATGATGGCGCCGGCGCTTCTCCAGATCGAAGATGAATTCTCCAGTGCCTCGTCCATGGTCATCACCTTCTCCGTATCCATTTACGTGAGTGCATACTTGCCTCTGGTCATACAAGATGAACCCCGCTAACCAAGGTAGATTATCGGTTTCGGTATCGGCCCCCTCTTCCTCGCGCCCTTGTCCGAGGTCTACGGACGCAACCTCATCTATCACGTCGGAAACATTCTCTTCACACTGTTCACGGCGCTGTGCGGCCTGTCCCCCAACTCGACCGCCCTCTTGATTTTCCGACTCATCGCCGGTGTGTTTGGTGGCGCGCCCTTGACCAACGGCGGAGGATCCATCGCGGATCTGGTGCCCGTCACGGAGCGTGGGTTCATCATGAGTATCTTTAGTCTGAGCATGTTGATTGCTCCCGTCATCGGGCCTATTGTAGGCGGGTTTCTGTCGCAGGCCGCGAACTGGCGGTGGATTTTCTGGCTGCTGACCATGCTGGTATGTCTTCCATAACACATTCGCTCATCTATCAGTGCTGACGACAACAGAGTGGCGTCACTACCGTCGTCTCCTTCATTTGCCTCCGTGAAACCTTTGGCCCCGTCTTACTCGAGCGCAAGGCGGCCAAGATCCGCAAAGAGACTGGAAACCCCAACGTCCAGGTGGTCGGCCGCGGCGACATCAGCCTCGGAAAACTGCTTCGACAGACCCTAATGCGCCCCATAACCTTCCTATACAAGAGCGCGGTCAGTATCGTGATGGCCATCTACATGGGTCTGGTGTACGGCATCATCTACCTGCTCTTTACCTCCTTCACCCAGGTGTTCCAGGAGCGATACGGGTTCAGCCAGGGCATCGCCGGCCTGTGCTACATCGGGCTGGGATTGGGGTGCGCCTCGCAGCTGTTCCTTGGAAGCTACAGCGATAAGATCTACACTTCGTTGACCCAGCGCAACGGCGTCGAACGAGCCGAGTATGTTCACCTCCAACCAAAGGAAAGAGATGTATATGCTAATAAACACCTCAGATACCGACTCCTCCTCCTCATCCCCGCCGCCTTGTCCCTCCCCGTCGGACTGGTGATCTACGGCTGGACCGCAGAATACACCGTCCACTGGATCGTGCCCATCATCGGCACCGTCTTCATCGGCGTCGGCTTCTCCGGCTCGATGACCAGCGTGCAGACCTACCTCGTCGACGCCTTCACGGCCTACTCCGCCAGCGCCCTGGCCGCCAACAACGTGGTGCGCAGTATCGCCGGTGGTGTGGTGCCGCTGGCCGGTCCCTCCATGTACGGCAAATTAGGACTCGGATGGGGCAACACCTTGCTGGGTCTGTTGTCCTTGTTCTTTGGTCTGACGCCGTTGTACTTCTACTGGTTTGGGGAGAAGCCCCCGAAGAAGGGGGAGGAACCCGTCTAGACTGTCAATCATTCGTTTCATTCTCTCGTTTTACCGTCTTTTATACCAGTTTCTCTCTTTATGTCTGTCTACCCTCATTATACCTCTTTGTCTTCCCTTATCTGTACAAAAGTTTTGCATTGCGTGGCCTGGTCTGGGGCTTTAGGCTTCCCACATTCACTTCAGGGGGCGTGACGTCATTGTTTTTCTTCAAGGCGCACTCAGCCTCGTCGGTTCCTCCATTTTGTATATAAATCACCATTCGGCTGTCTGACGTGATCTTGATTTGGAAGCGTGTTTTTGATTGTTCTTATTTCGACTTCCCAAAGTCTACAGTAAATAAAAATCGGAAAAAAACAAAAAAAAAAAAAAAAAACAAATCTTTTTGTCGCTCGGCCTGTGGTATTGAACAGACTTTAATTAAGAATAAGCCCCGCGCTGCCTAAGAATGACTTCGGCCATCACTACCGTGTTTTCCACCCACGAACTGTTGGAATGCATCCTACTCCAAGTAGACTTGCGCACGCTACTCACCTCGGCCCAACGCGTCAACCGCACCTGGTATGACTTGGTTCGCAGCTCGCTGCCACTTCAGCGAACGCTGTTCTTCGCCGCGCAAGATGACAACCACAAAAACAGCGAGTACACATACAATCCACTCCTAACGAACGCTTTTCCCACCTTCTTCCAGTCCTTTCCCGGCTCCGCTGCGGGAAGGCCCAGAAGCCTCGACCTCAACAGCCTCGAGATGGTGCTCCGCCCAGACAAGCAGACGGCCTACCTCCGGGCAGAGGCTAGTTGGCGGAAGATGCTCACGCGGCAACCACCGGTGCGGAGTCTACTAGCAGTGCGGGTGACGTCGAGCATGGCGGGCCAGAACGAAACGATGGAGCGGCTGGAGGTCCCCGAGGGGGGGCTGCGGATGGGACGGGTGTTTGAGCTGGTGATGTCGCGCAAGGTGGTCTCGTTTGAGCCCATCACGCACAATCATCTTTCTTGGAATCCAGGGTCGGATGTGAGAGGTTTCCAGGGGTCAAATATGCGGGTGAATGACGAGTTGCGGCGGGCGGTGGTCGAGGCGGATGCGTTGCTGTACTCGTACCATGTCGTGCAGTGTACGGTGAGGTGGGAGGATACGGCGGAGACGGCGTTGCAGAGGGATCTGGCGAGGGGGTATGGGAAGATTAATCTCTGAGTATATATTTCATTTTCACATACACAACATGTGGGATGAAGGTAGCGATATATATCACTGGTGTGAAAGGTGCTCAGTCTAGCCGATGTTAAGGTTGTACGTATATATATAACGGCTGCATTCCGTTCCGCACCACGATCGAATCATCCCACATGTGTAGACCAGATAACCATAGTCTCGACTAAACCCGTCTATAAACTACAATCGATCTCATAATTAGAGATTGAAATTATCACAAAAAATAAAAAAAAAACAATGGGATGAACCGGGATCGAACCGGTGACCTTTAGATAGCACTACTTCGACCGAAGTAGAAAACTGAAGTTGGTTCTTCAGTCTAACGCGCTCCCAGCTGCGCCATCACCCCTTTATCTTGCACCTACATCTCACTTGGCTCTTATCTGGGAGATCTTCTCCCTCTCCATCGTCAGGGGGTCATCATGGCCAATAAGCTCGACGGTCATTCCGGGCCAACCACTCCATCACACTGTCACCAGTCAAGAATCACATTCCAAACTCAGTTCCTCCCCAACCTCGGCAAACGCTACCAGTCCATCCTCGTGCCGACCAGATGCGGGGTTGTTGACCACTGATCACTCCGGGGAACGTGGACGATGCACGACCCCAGCCGTTCCCCGGATCTTGATGCCGCGCCGGGTCTCTCGGAGGGAGAATGACCTTCAATTCAGACGCTGCCATTGGAGAGACGATCGCCACTCGTATATCTCCTATCCTCCGACCTATCGTCTTTTCACCCGACGTCGGTAGGACTGCCCTCATTGCTCAGACAACGCGAGGGATCCCCCTGTCGATCGCGAAGAATGCCCCAGAGGGATAGCTTCCCTGTTGCCGCACCCCCTCGGTAAATGGGGTGGTGCCGTTATTTATAGGGCTGTCAGAACCGCTCGTGGGTGGATGGTTTGACACTCCAGGTCACGGTCCATCCCATCCATCATGCGCATCCGTCTGTCCCTCCGCTTGGCGCTGTTGGGTCTTTGCCTGGCCCCGGTGATCTCCGCTCACCCCACGGGGTCGGCCACACCCCAGGATGTGCCCCGGGGCCTCCTCCCCCAAGACCCCAGCGAGGACCCCTTCTACCAGCCCCCGGGCGGGTTCGAAGCCGAACCGCCCGGCACCGTCCTGCGTAGCCGCCGCATCGTCGCCTCCTTCTTCGGCCTCCTCCCCAACCTCATTGAGGCCCACCAGCTGCTCTACCGCACCACGGCCATCGATGGCTCGGCCATCAGCACTGTGACGACCGTCTTCAAGCCGCACAACGCTAAGCCGGACCGCTTCATCTCCTTCCACACCGCCTACGACTCCTCCGCCGTCAGCTGTCAGCCCAGCTACCAGTACCAGCTGGGGTCACCGCAGACCGATTTGATTCTCTCGCTCGAGATGATCGTCATCCAGATCTACCTGCTCCTGGGCTACGTCGTCGCCTCACCCGACTACGAGGGCCCCGACGCCGCCTTCGGGCCCGGCCGCCTCGAAGGCACCGGCGTGCTGGACGGGATCCGCGCTGTGGGACACCACCACGCCGCACTGGGTCTCGACAGCGCCACACCCCCCGTCGTCGGCGTCGGCTACTCGGGCGGCGCCATCGCCACCGGCTGGGCCGCCGGCCTGCAGCCCGCTTACGCACCCGAGCTGGACATCCGCGGCTGGGTCGCCGGCGGCACGCCGGCCAACCTGACCGGCACGCTGGTTTTCATCGACGGCACGGCCTTCAGCGGGTTCATCCCCGCGGCGATCGTCGGGCTGAATCAGCCAAGCGCCTACGGGGCGCGGCTCCAGCCCGTCCTCGACGAGATCGTCACCGACGCGGGGCGCTCCATCCTCGACACGGCATCGACGCAGTGTGCCCCAGCCGCCCTCGTCTCCTTCTTCGGCCGGTCGCTCTTCGACCCTGAAATCCAGACGATGGGCCCGGAAATCCTGCACGAGCCGACCGTCTCGGACATTCTCAAAGCGAACACGATGGGCGCCAACAGCTCGGAGACGCCCACGGCGCCCGTTTTTCTCTACCACGCGACAGACGACGAGATCATCCCTTACTCGAATGCGACGACGTTGCGGGATGCGTGGTGCACGGACGGGGCGGACGTCCACTTCACGACGTTCGCTAGCGGCGGGCATGCCACGACGGAGGTGATCGGGTTGCCACGGGTGCTGAAGTTCGTGGAGGCGGCGTTCGAGGGGAAGACGGCGAAGGGGTGCGCGATGGACGAGGAGCTGTCGGATAAGCTGGAGCCGTTGGCGCTGGGGGTCAGTCTGGAGCCGGTCTTGGTGAAGTTGCTTCATGCGTTGATGCTGGCGGGGACGAAGGATGCGAAGCTGCGGCAAGATGTGAAGGTGTGGGGAGAAACCTTCTAATGGTATTGATAGTTGAAGGTAATTACGGGCATGATTATGGTTAACGAAGACGATGCCTCGGAGCGCTCATTGTTGTCTATTTCTGTTCTAGTGGAAGGGAGGCTACATTGCATGAGTTACGCACTCTGTTTAACACTAATTTTAACAGACTTCAACGACTCACCAGACTGGAGACAGTCTGTCGTAAGGGCCTCTCTTACGGCAGACTGAACTGACAACTCCTGAATAGTATCATCAGATCATGGCAGTGCATTGCACCGTAGGTAACCTAAGATTAGATCCACGACCTAGTCACCGTGGTCATCACAGGTATGGTATGTGCATAGACACTCCCATCCTAGCACTAGGCAAACTACAAGGGGCCATAGCAAAAATAGAACACTTGACACGGTATCGCGAGCTATACCAGCAGCACAGCCTGATATAGTTCTGGCCGGATCAATGTCCAGACCCAAACAAGAGAGCACCAACAGCCGGCCCAAGCATTGACGACACAGCCAATCGCAAGCCTTAGCGTCCATTCTATACGCACTAAATAAATTCAAGGACAAGATATTTATAGGATTTATGGGTCTAGGCCACAATGGCGCGCGCTGAATGGCCAAAAACATCGCTAAAAGGTTTATGCGACCAGTCGGAGAAGCTTTTTCATAGACTAGAGCATGGCAACTCCGCCGCAGTCGTGAGCGGGTCTAGCAGGGGACCAGCCTCGAGAGGTAAGGATCGCCGGTATGGACTCGGTGGGGGCCGAAGGGCTGAGAGCCTGGGACAGCCTCAGCTGGCTTGACAGGAGGGTGCAGAAGGTTATAAAGAGGTTAATTCACCTTATTTGCACCTACATCCATCTCTACTCAATCATCTCTATCATCCATTCTCCCCTCCATCTGTTCAAGACCTCCAAAATAATCATGGACGCCTACCACGCCCACTTCAGTACCAACCAGAACGCTGGCTCTCAACCTGCTCAGAATCACACCCCGCACGGTGCCAATGTCGATTACTACGGGGGAGAGGCGCCAGTTCCGTCGACGCATGCCGAGCCAACCCCAGACCACCAAGGCGGCGAAGAGGACCGTGGGCTAGGGTCACTTATGAAGAAACTCGGCGGCAAGGAGGGCAAAGAAAGCAAGGAGGGCAAGGCAGGCAAGGCAGGCAAGGAAGGAAAGGAAGACAAAGATGGGGAAGACGGAGAAAAGAAGAAGAAGGGTAAAGCCAGCAAGATCATGAAGCTGGGGATGAAAGCGTGAGTTTACGTTTCTGTCTCTCGATGGATGACAGGCGTGCTAACTTGACTAGCTACAAGAAACACAAGGAAAAGAAGAAGTCCAAAGGGGAGAGCGGGTCCAAGCCGCATAAGTCTCATTCCGGAGGAGCAGTGGCAGCAGAGGGGGAAGAGGAAGAGGAAAGCTCCAGTGGGTCAGAATCCGGATCTGATGATGAGTCGGACGACTCTGAGTCTGACTCGGGGTCAGGGTCGGATTCTGATTGATTTCTACTTTATTCTGTATCGTACTTAATACCTCGATCGCCTGATAGACATTAGCGAGCTTTATATCATTTCATTCTTGCCCCCCCGGCTTTTATTCACAGTATATACAAAAGTATGTATATCAATCATTTAATAATCTCCACCTCCACTCCAACCTTCATCCCCCAACCATCTCTCCCCCCAACCCAATTCTTCCGCTTGCCCACTTTACGAATCTTATGGATCGTACCCTCCAGCAGCTCCTTCACCTGCGATGGGTCGACATCCACTCGCTGCACCCGAAACACCAGCTCGAGGCCCTCCTTATTGCGGCGCTTGCCCAGATGACTACTCCACCGCGCGGTCGGCAGCACGCGGGGTTGAGCTGGATCGACAATCCCCACGGGGTATAACGCGGCGATTACAAGTCCTACGCCGCCGAGATAGCGCGTCCACCATACCTCCTCAGCCGGGAGGAGTGCGCGCAGCCGACGACGGAAGTCGCGCTCGCGCGGGGGCAGCGCCCCGCCGTGTCGCGCCTGTAGTAAGAGGGCGAGACGGGCGCGGTCGACGTGGGGGATGCCGTGCGCGGCGGCCATCGGGCCCGCGCTCGTGCTGTACAGTGCTGCCGTGGAGGCTAGTTCCTTGCTCATTGCGGCGTGGAGGTAGAGAGAGTTGGCGAAGGCTTGGATTACGGGCCCGTTTAGAGAGCTCGGGAAGCGGCGCCGTGTTGTTGGAGGTGGGATCGTGGCGAGGAGGAGGTAGAGCAGGGCTTGGACGGAGGGGCGGGCGTATGCCTCCGTGGCGACCTGTAGTGGGTCTTGCTGGCGAACGACGGGCGGTAGGGTCCGGAACAGGAGCCCCTCACGGACGCCGCCCTGACAGAAGTGGGCGGCACGGATGCCGTGGGGGACAGCAGCCGCCAGGGCATTGACCAGGAAGGCGACGGAGGGGACCTGGGCACGGCGGCGGTCGGAGACGCGGAAGATGCGGTCTGCGGTGCGGGCGGCGCGCTCGACGGAGTCGGTGTCGGCGAAGTCGGCCTGCGGCGCGGAGTAGCCGTTGATGATGGATATCGGGTAGTATTCCTTGTCCGGGTGGATCTGATGTAGGTAGAGAAGGAGGTATCCCCAGCCGCGGAACCCGCCGCCGGAGAGGTAGAGGTCGAATCCGCCGTGGCGGCGGGCGTGGTCGCGGAGCGGGGCGGGGATGGCTAGCTGGCGGAACGCGTCGCGAAAGTGGTCTTCCATGTCGGCGCGAAAGGCGTCGAGCGCGCGACGGGCCTCGCTCTTGCTTTTGCCTTGCTTCAGCAGGTGGAGTGTCTGGGTCAGTGCGGCCGCGCCGTAGGGGAAGCTGACGGCGCGGCGCGGACTCAGCTGGACGTGGCCGGCGTGGGCGATCAGCCAGGTGATCTGCATACTGCCGCCGCCTAGGTCGATAGCGAGGCCTTGGATGTCAGAGAAGCCGCTGGCGATGCCCCATGCGCCGACGACGCCTTCGTGGGACTTGGAGAGGATCTCGACGGGGCGGGTGGTGGCGCGCTCGATAGCGGCGACCAGGTCGGCACCGTTGAGGGCCTTGCGCGTGGCCTCGGTGGCGACGATGCGGAAGTTCTGAGGCGGCACTTCCAACTGGACACAGATGGTCTGGAAGCGTGTGATGGCGGCGACGACGGCATCGATGACGTCGGAAGGGATGGGGATCTGCTTGCCGGAGTCGTCGTACTGTGCGTCGTAGAGGGCGATGTTGACGCGCTGCATGTGCTGGGTGGGAAGAATGCGGGCGCTCCGGGCGGCCAGGTCGGTGATTGAGCAGCGGATGCCATTGCTGGACGGTTAGTGGATGAAATGGAGATGAAGCTATTGCGATTACCTGCCGAGATCCACCACCGCGTGCAGTCGACTGGGGTCGCCATGACCGATGGAGGGGGTTGGATATGGGGGAATTTCACCACCACCCATGCTGATAAATTTATATACTATAGTTTATATACTCATACCCGTGTATGTGTATTACCTGTGAATGAAGATGTGAAGTGATATGTGGTCAGTTCCTGGTGCCTTGCTGAATGCGGCGATGATGTCACCACTCGTGCTACATCGCCATCGATGATGCTTCATACGAGGTCGAGTAGATAATACTATTAAGATTTTTGTCTGGAGCAGAAGAGGATACAGATAAAGGATTCCTAATTTCATCCATCCAATCGAGATCGATCTCACTGCGAGCGATCTACCACCTGATGAACCGGCACCTTTGGCATTCCCTGCTCTGCACTGCTCTGGAACATCAATTCCATCTGTCCCGTCAGCATCTCGAATACGAAGGAAGATAGGAAAACATACCAGCTCTAGGTCGGCCAGCGCCTCCTCCGGTCGCTGTCGATCATTCCACTTCCCCGTGGCCAGCGCCTTTCCCCAAGCCAGGACCTCGTCCGGCACGCCCAGCCCCTCGATGGGGATCTGACGTACCTCGGGTTCACGGTCCCTGAAACGGGTGGTTACAGTCGTATTATCGACAGTGCCGTTCCAATCCATGACGCTGATGCTGCCGTTATCGCCGACCATCTCCCACCCCGTGCCGTGGAGGTTTGACGTGAACGACAGCTGGAACACCCCCTGGGTGCCCGCCTCGGTCTGAAAGATGGCATCCAGCGTGTCGAGCGGAGGGAGCGTATCCTGCGCGGCATTTGCAAAGGCCGCAATGCGTGTCACCCGGTCAGAGCGAAGCAAGTGGCGCAGGCTCGCTGCGTAGTGGACCCCGGAGTCCAGCAGCGTGCCGCCCTGATGCTCGGGGTGTCTCCGCCATGCGGAGCCCTCTAGAGATTGTCAGCTCTAATATGGACAGAAGCTTGTGGGGGGAAGTAAATTGGGCTCACCGAAGAAGCTCCACATGTAGAATCCCGGCCGACAGTCTAGGTTGACTTGCACGCGCAGCTGGTGAATCCGACCCAGTGCAGCCAACTGGTCGCGCGCGTAATTCAGACTCTTCCAGTACCGCCAGTTCTCGGCCACGGACCAGTTGGCTCGCTGCGAGACTCCCGACGACCGGTACCACTGTAGTAGGGTTGTCGCTTCGGCGATGTCCTTGGCGATGGGTTTCTCGGAGAGGACATGTTTGCCGGCGTTTAAGGCAATGCGCACGAACTTCGCAGTCTGAACGATTGGGACACTGGGATTTCATGTCAGTATGCCTTCTGGAGCGGGGTTGAGATGCCGTACGCTATGATGACGGCGGTGACATCAGATCGGCCCAGCATCGCCGCTAGGTCTTGGTCTGCATCGTCGGCATATCGAGCCAGGTCGCGGTCTGGGGCCACACTTTGAGCGGATTTCAGCGATCGCGAGTAGACGGCGCGAAGCTCGAGGTCGGGTGCGGCGTCAATTGCAGGCTGGGGATATTAGCCAGTGAACTATGCTATAAGATAGGACCTACCAGATGGACGAGTCGCGCGAAGAGGCCGGCGCCGATCAAGGCAACTCCGATGGGCATGTTGGCAGATCGATGGGATTGCTCGAGGGGGGGTGGGATGGAGGTAGGATGAGGATGACTTGGTTGGTGACCTGGGAGAAGAATCCCAGCTTTAAAGAAGAGTATCAGCCTAGAACCCTTCATCACCAGTGATGAAGCTAGTGAAAATGCGCGTTATTTACGGTAAACGGTAAAGATCTTCATTGATTCTATTGGCATGTTTGGGGTTGCATCTGCCCCGCAGTCCCCCTCCAGCCTTGTCTATATCAACTGCTAGTATTGTGGGTCTGATCCTGTTTTGCTGTTGCACATGTGAAGCATGCAGTAGACAGAGAGGATATTCATTGTGTCATACGCCGGTGACTGTAGTCAGTCAAGGCTGAGTTGATATAGATGATACCATTCACGTCTACTGATATGCATCACCATGTACAGCCAGTCTCATCACCAGCACGAATCACAGTCACTTTGTATAGTACAAGCCAGTACAATGACATGCAGTGAGAGACGAAAAGTTGACATATGCAGCATGATGAGAGCAATTTCAGGAATGTCATGTTATCAAAATTACTACATGATTAGTTTACGATCTATGATCAAGGCATAACCCATCAATCTCGCAACGCCTCGCTATTCTATAAACAATTTCAAAGAACACATTGACATCAGAAGAGCAGTCTCAATCTTGATCAGCTAATAAAACCATGAACAGAGAGTCCGTCCCCTCGCCAACCGTCGATACTCCTGCATCACCGGACTCCCACCCCCCACCTCCGCTCCCCCATCCACCCCCGTCGCATGAGCATACCCATCCCCCTTACCAGCAATAAAGAGATGTCCCTCGTCATTCGCTGCCGCAATGTTGAACTGCTCCTCGAGGACCGCGCCCGTCGGGCCTTCCGCACACGCCCCCTGCACCCGCGTCGACGCAGGGCTATTCAACGCTAGTGCGAACAGATTCGGCGGCTCCGTAAAGTCCGTGATTTGCTCGCCGCGCGCCTCTCCCAGAAGAAAAGCTAGATAGACGACGCTGGTGATAAAGGCCGCCCCTAGGACGAGGTAGAACACCCGTTGCCACGGATGAGAACCCCCCGACGCGTAGCCCACCGCGCGCAGAGTTGCCTCGCAGGTCTCTGGCACGGGGTTGTGCAAAATGCTGTCCTTACGGTCGGCGTAGGGCCACGCGGTGCGGAATGAGGTGCTCATCGTGGAGAGGAGAAGTGTGCTACCAGCGAGGACGGCGAGACCCTCGGCGACGGAGGGCCGCTCGGCGGGCAGGGCTCGTGGCTGCCCCGTGGGGACGAGCTGCATCAGCAGTCGGGCGTTGCTGGAGGCGCCGTCGAGCATTCCCGTGCCCAGGCTGAGCGATGTGCTCCACAGTGACGCGACATTCTTCCAGTTGGGGCTCCATTCTCCGTCTGGGTCGTCGGGGTGGAAGCGATCGTACTGCATGGAGTTGGTGGGCGACTGGCAGTTAACGGTGAGGTTGGCGCCGGTGGCTGACGCCTCGTAGTGGGTTGAACACCGCGGCGAGAGCTTCGCTTTGAGCGCGCAAAGCACGTAGGGCGGATCGTCGGTGGAGGGGTTGGGCGTGGTGCCAAGGAGGAAGACCGAGTCCGCGGGTGCGAGGCCGGTGGTGTTAAGGACGGTGTTGTATGCGCTGGGGAAGCGGCCGAAAACGGGTGGCCGTTGGCCGTATTTCGGGCCCCAGCCGAAGAGATCGTCAACGACGGTGCGGTTGAGGTAGTCCGGGTAGTCCGGGACGCCTTGGGGTTTGTTCTGGAGCCAGGCAGGGACGTCGAGCTTGTCCTTGGAGCCCTCCGGCCACTCAGTCCAGACGAGCGGAGCCAGTTCCTCACTTGTCATGCCGGCGCAGAGAACGTTAACGGCCGGGGCCGCGACGGCGGCGTCAAGCTCGAAATCGCCCTCGCCGCGGACCTGGGGCTGGGGGATGCCGTTGACTGGGTCGTTGGTCGCCACGAAAACGCCGCCATGGGGCATCGCCGCCGTGACGTTGAGGATGAGCCGATGGTAGCGCTCCGAAAGCTCCGCCACGTCACTGTTCTCGCGGTCGATCCACTGGCCGATCAGGGTGGTGTTGTCCCAGAGAGAGCCCATGGGGGGCGGCCGGTGCGCGAGGTCGTCGGTGGGATCGCGGATGGTGCTCCACGCGTTGAGCCATGCCCTGTAGTTGTGGTAGGCCTGGCCGGTGTGCAGCAGCTCCATGCAGGTTCTGTTCCGATTGTCCGGGTCCATCGCGAGCGGGATCGGGCTAGCACATTGCTCGCCCAGGATCTCAGGGTCGGCAAAATCCGCGGAGACGCGGCCGATCAACTGGAGCGACTCGACGTGACCGAGAATCAGCTTGGGAGCGACGAGGGCCTCGGCGGCGGTGGTGTACAGCATCGAGACGATGGCGGCCGTCAGGGCGAGCACTCCCAGTACGGTGCCGGCCGCCTGTCGCAGCATCTCGCCTTGGACGAGGAGAGAGCCCGGTTGCATTATCCAGGTGCGCAGGTTCATCTCGGGGATGGTGATGCCGCGCGAGCGTCGGAGCAGGGCGCGCCGCGAGAGGACCTGGCCTACGAAGGCCACGCACACCGTCACGTACGACAGTTCGATTGTCTTGGCTATCAGGGCGCTCAGCAGCGTTGCTGTGGCCGGGTCCAGCCCTCCCACGCCAATGCGATCGCCAAACCGGGGTCGCACCAGGGCGACGACCAGATAGAAACATGACGCGAGGGTGGCGTAGACGGCCAGGAGGATGATGGACACGGGGAGCCACGACCAGCGGGACTTGACCAGGTGGCCTCGCGCGGGACATTTGATGCCGTGGGAGGGATCGAGCAGAACGTGACGGGCGGAGTAAGGCGGGGACATCTGATCGGAGGGATTCTGGTCAGGATTCTGGTCGGGGATGTAGCCAGGAGAGGGTCGATCGAGAGCAGGTTCATCATCCGGCAACCGTGTCCAAGGGGAGATGCCCAGTCCAACGGCGTGCGAGCGGCCCATGGTGGATAGATAAGCTTTTCATCTCTGCAGTGGAGAATGAGTGGGGATTGATGGGATTATATTCTTTATATCTCTTTGTATCGAGTCATATCAAGCTAAACCAGTTACACTAACTTGATTTCCTCAAAGAATCAGGCCGACCAAGTAGGGCCCAGACGCGTCAGCCCTAATGCAACCCCCCGCTGACGTTCCAGAGATTCAACGGCTGTTGGATCACAGCTCGGGGCGCAGCAACATAGTGGGTGTCATCTTATTCCTACAGGGGATGGTTGGTGAACTGGCAATGTGTTGATTGGATCTTCCTGCATCAAAGACTCCTCTTCCCTGCGTCTCGTATTCCAGCCTAATCTCATCGATGTAGCAAGACGGAAACCGTCCACCAGGCTGACAGAGATTAAAACGCCACTCGCCCAGTCTGGACCCCCCGCAGAATCTCAGCCTTGTGCATCTCTTCAATCATATTGAACAACATGAAGTCGCACCCCCGTCGCACCAGCAGGTTTATCGTCACCGGCCACTGCTCCTGTACCCCTGTTACCCGGGACTCGTATGGAACCTGTCCAATGGGGATCGTGACGTCGACACATCTGCACACGCGAGCCAGTTAGCACTTGCTCGATCAATCATACGTCAGCCCGAGGCTGAAGAACATACCCGAAAATAGCGCACAGTAGCCCACACGTTGTCACTGCGCCGTCCGGGATCCGCCCGAAGCGCGTCGCATTCGGGCCGTCGTTGAGAGCCCCTTCCCGAAAGCTGGGCAGGCCCCCGGTGCTAATATCACACACTAGGATAGACTCGGAACAGGACTCGCGCGTCTCGTACAGGATGTGCTGCTCGAACCATGCAGCCATCTGGGCGCGTACTTGCCGCGCCGCTTCATAGGCCGTCTGCGTTGTGACGTTCGGGTCGAAGGTGTGCCACTGCTGCCGCCAGGCCGGATCGACCGGAGGGTAGCGGCCGTCGTGGCGCTGCGCCCAGATCGACACGAGCGGCGTGACAACGTCCACCCACTGCGGCCAGACGGACATGGTTGACGAGGCATTGAGCACAGTCTCCCATGTGGTCAGACCCGACACCCCGGGGAAGATGGACGCGTTGGCGATGGTGTCGGTGAGGTGGAGATGTCCGACCGTGAGGCTGAATCGAGTCGCTACGCGCGCCAGCGTCGTCTCGACGAGGGTCTGCGCGGCAGGGTTCACCAGCGGGAAGTACTCAGAAAGGTAGAGTAGCCGGCGCGGGAAGGCCCTCGTGTCCCGAACGGACAGTGGGGGCAATCCGGTGATGGACGGGTCCTGATGCAGCCGTGGCGTGTACCAAGCTTTGGCAAAGCGCGCCCAATCCGTCGGGTCGCGGGCGAACACGCCAGCTGTGTCCTGGGCCCAGTTCAGGGGGACAACACCTTCCATTGAGATCATACCCTGGCTGGGTCGGTTGCCATATGTTCCCGACACGGCGGCCGGGCGGCGCATGGAGACGGCCGTGTCGGTGCCGATCGCGGCGTCGAGCCAGTCGTAGGCAGCGATCGCGCAGCCGCCACCGGACGAGGACCCCGAGCAGGTCAGGTAGCCGTCGCCGCGGGGGTTGAAGGGCGCGTGCAGGTCAGTCCAGTTCCAGGGGTCGATGCCCGAGGCGAACTGTCCCGGCTTGAATTTACCTACAAGCACGGCGCCAAGGTCGATCAGGCGCTGAATGGCTGGGGCTGTGGACGTGGCGACCGGGGTGATGTCGATCCAGGCCTGGCTGCCGGCGGAGGTCTGTGTGCCCTGGAGGTCGAAGAGGTCCTTGATGGCGACTCGCCGACCGGCTAGAGGGCGGGGATCGTGGCGCGCGTGGATCCGACTAGGGACGGGGATTAGGGCACCCCAGCGACCGGGGGAGAAGGCAAACAGGCTGGTAAAGGCCCCGGATTCATCGTGCGAGGGATAGACGCCGGTGATGAAGTCCCGGTATTCGTCGACATACAGGCGGTATGTGTCGAAGAGATGGAGGCCATGCGGTGACAGCCTGGCTGTATATGGGCCGGAAGGGAGTGACTTCGTGTCGCGGGTGGCAATCCGGTGGTAGTTGTCTGGCAGGACACGCTGGCGGAATTTGATATCCAAGAAGATCAAGGCGCAGTGGATGTGCTCAAGATACTCGATAGCGGAGGCGTCCAGCCTCGCGGAAGATGCGCTCGACGATAGGTAGATGGCCTGCAGGAAATCCTCGGTCATGACATCGTCGGACTGGAGGTAGCTCGTGAGCAGGTCCTCCAGGTGGTCGCCTGTGACAACACTCTGGTTCGTCAAGACGGCCGTCAGGAGGGTCAAGTCCTTATCGGGCTCCAGGTCAGGGACAGCCCAGCGACGCGTGGGATTTTTGACATTGACAAAGTAGGCGACATCCCCGAGCTGGTAGGTAATGCCATCTGAGCTCTTCTCCAGATCGAATGGGTGCAGTGGTGCCGATATGGCGATAACGGGGGAGACGAGGGCTAGGGCACTGAGAAGCATTTGCATTACCATTTTCTGTGGATGTTCTGTGGATGAGATCAAAGGAGTTGATGACTATTTCTACGGCCAAGAGAGAACAGAGGCGATGCACGTTGCCGTCCGTTTCAGTTGGGCCGTGTCACCTTTTCCATACTCTGGAAGTGAAGTCAGAAGGATCATTTGCGTAGTTTTGTTCTAATGAGGACTGCATGGATTGAATGGAGCTGCCAGAATTGAATGAGGTTTCTAGGATTGTTCTCTCGAACAATCATCTACTGATCGATTGTGGGTAACTACAATAGGACTATAAATATCAGATTCACGAGACGGTCTGACACAGTGGAAATGACGTTGAAACCACCGACCGCAACATTGGATAATGAGTACATGGATCTCCCATGCTTAGTTATTGGAATGTTGCAAGATTCGGTCGGCTGAGATTGGAATGGTGTATCGGGTCGAGATGGTTGTCTGTATACGAGCTGGGCGTTGGCGTGATTGGGACAATGATAACAAATACTGACGTGAAATTGAGAGAAAAAAACGGCTAGTCTGATGTAATTTGGGATATCTATGTGGTAGAGAGGGCGTACGGTTATTCTATTAATTGAGGCATTACTATATACCGTCATCGGTCTAAACACTCTTCCCCGCCGGATCCACCGGCGCCAGACGACTCATCGCGCGGATCCGGCCCCCAAAGAGGTAAAACAAGATCGGAATAGGGATCATCGCGACGGCAATACAGCCCAGCAGTGTAGCCGCCCACTGGATGCCCAAGTTGTGGAACATCTGTTCGGTGAACAAAGGGAAGCAGGCGGCGACTATGGAGCGCATCATGGTGTTTGCTGCGAAGGCGGAGGCGGCACTATCTCTGGTTAGGAAGGTTGTAGGATGTAAGTGAGATCAGGGAACCTACAAGTGGGAGTACGTGTCTAGGATGTAGTTGAAGCATTGCATAAAGATGGTGGTCAGGCCGAAACCGATTAGCACGCCGGACGCTGTGGGTGCCATCCAGTGGATGGAGTGGGAATAGCCGGTCCATCCAAACCTATAACAGTTAACATATGTACGTTGTATGAGGATAGGAGGATGATATACCAGAACAACCCCCCCGCAAAAACAATACCCCCCACGATACACGGCGGCAGACGCCATTCCGGCACAGTTATGAACCCGTTCGCCTCGAGCTTCCGCTGATAGGACCGGCCCCCGGACAAGACAAACGCACAGCCTGCCATCTCGCCGATAATCAGGCCAATGAAAGGTAGGCCGCTGACCCCAGCAGGCATGCGGTAGATGTCGCGGAAGACGATGGGGTATGCTTGAAGAAGGGCATAGGACAGACCATAGATGAAGGACATATACAGCGTCAACAGCAAGGCGATTGGCTCGGTGAAAAGGATGCGGAACGGACGGGCCAGGTTCTTAGTGACCAGCTGGTGCCAGTCGAGCTCGAGCTCGTCCTGGCGCGCGTGGATGCCCCAGTTGCGGGTCTGGCGGCGCAAGACGGCCGCCTTGTGGACAAGCACAGTGGGCGCGTACGTTTCGGGACAGAAGAGCAGCATAAGGCCCAGGCTGGCAAAGCCGACGATTGCGGGCACGTACAGCGTCCAACGCCAGCCGAGGTCGCTGGCGGCGGTGAAGCCGCCGATGAAGGGCGCCGTGAAGGGCCCAAGGAAGACGGCCATGGTGTACATGGCTATGGCAACGCCGCGGTGGTGGCTCTTGAACAGGTCCGACAGACTGGCGGGCACGAGGGCGATGATGCTGGCGGCACAGAAGCCCGAGAAGAACCGGGCCAGGAACAGGGTCTGCGTGTCCTTGGCTACGGCCGTTGCGATGGAGAAGATATCGAACCCGAACATGGCAATCAGCAGCGGCCAGCGACGGCCGATTAGCTCCGACGCCGGTGCCCACACCGTCGGCCCGGCTGAGAAGCCTAGCACATACAGCGTCGTCCCGAGGGCGGCGACCTCAGACCCGAAGCCGAACTCCTCCATCACGCCGGGGGAGGCGGTGGCGAAGATGGCGCTGGAGTAGGAGGTAACGAGGGCGCCGAACGTGAGGAGGGAGCCGATCAGAATCCTACATGGCCCGTATCAGTATGTCCGGACTGGAATGGTCGAAGGAGATGTATTACCGCTTCGGCATGGGCCAATTCTGCGGGTGCAGAGGGTCGTCGACGCCCTCAAATTCCACCACGTAGTCCTCCGAGTTGGGTAGCTCGGGGGGGTAGGGCTTGCCGGCACCCAGGGGCAGCCACTGCTCGCGCGGAATGCGATTGCGCATCGAGCCGACGGTGGCCTGCTGTTGCAGACGGGCCGTCTCGATGCGATCGAGCTCGACGAGCCCGGGATCCTCCACGGACACGCCGGAGAAAGGAGGATCATGCTGGTCGTGGTCATGCATGATGCCGACACAGTGTGGGTAGGACCAGGGTTCAGGGATTCAGGGATTCCAATCTCATCCGATATTTGATGTTTTTTTGAGTGGATCTCGCTCCATGCCGACCCCCGACTGGACCCACTCGGATTATTAGGATAATGGATCAGGGAGGCCAAGGATGAAGTTCTCCTGGGTTTCATTTATACAAATGATCTATAAAAGGTGAATGATCAAGATTATCAACTATGAATGCTGAAGTATCCTTTGAACAGTGAAATTTGTACCGTGTGTCAGTTCATGAGAAGATGTATAAGTGAATATCGGATATCATACTGAATTGATTATTGAACAGTGAGTGGGTCGACCACCGCTCGAATGGGTCCGCGACGTCAGCCTCGCTGCCTCGGCATGTCTCAAGGTCCAGGCAGGACTAGACAGACATGGCTATTAAACACGAAAATAGGTGTTGAAATCTGCTTCAATTTCGATTGCTGATGGTACTAAGATGTAGACTATATAGAAGATATGGTAGATGCAAGATCAGTCACCTGACGACCCCTAGCCCTAACTCGAATGCGATGAGGATATCTTCAATACTGCACAGAAGGTGGACATGCCAGCACAAACTAAGACGACTGCTCCATCACGGGCAACTCCGCCATGTGCAATTTGGCACTCCCATACGGCACCAGCCGCACCTCTACGCAGCGCCGACTCTCCCCCAACGGCGGGTTAGACGCGAAGCCGTCCTGCATGGGCCAGTCAATCCGACACACCGTCACTATAATTGCCGTGGGCGCACCCGTCGTCCACAACAGGTCTGGGAGGCTCCCTCCATCCTTGTCCAGTCCCTCGTATCGCGCCGTGCTCGGGTCCACGGCGTACGCCCACTGCCCCGTCGGCTGCAGGGCGTGGTTGCGCACCTGCTCCGGCGCCGTCCCCTCCGGGTACGAGGGATCCAGCGTCGTCGTGTCGTTGAATCCCACGGGGTTAGCGTACAGCAGTGTGCCGTGGAAGAGCGACACCGTGTCGTTGGCACGCTGCTCCACGCGCACTGTCGGCGCCAGGCGCACCTCGACCCGTGTCTTGCCAGCGTCCACGGGGATCGTGTGCAGGCCGGTGGCGGGATCCGGCTGGGCAGATTCCGCCGACCGCTCATCCACCGTCACCCGAGTGTCGCGCGGTGCCGACCACTCCGAGATGCGCACGAGAATATCGGCCGGCCCGTCGGCCTGCACGGTGTAGGTTAGCTCGGGCGAGAAGGGGTAGGCTGTGTCGCAGACTATGTCAACGGCGACGCCGTCTCCAGTCTTGTTTGAACGCGTGTGGGGCCCAGCAGAGCGTGGGCGATGCCGCGGCGGCCGACGCGCCCCCACGACCCGGCCACGTATTCGGGGTATCCCTGTGGATGGTTGACGGTGCAATAGGGGTAGTGCGGTTCAAGGCCATAGATTTGGCCATCGGTGCCGATGTTGGAGAAAGGGGAGTTGTCGAGGACGTGGGAGATGGGTTGGTTAGTCTGGGCGACGTACTGGTGGGCCCACCAGTCGGGCAGGGCCATGACGGGGAGGGCGTTGAAGGCCACGCACTCGGTGGCGTCGGCCAGGCCGGGGGTGCGCAGGGCGCGGTGCAGGTAAGCGAGGGGAAAAAGGGCCTCGACGACGGTGCAGAACTCCGTGCCGCGCGTGGGGCTGCGGCCGGAGAGGCGTTCGTCGGCGATAATGGATCCTGACGGGGTACCGTGGGATTCCAGGGTCCAGCGGACGGCGCGGCGAGCGCTATCGGCCAGGCCGTCGTTATGGGAGAAGCGGCGCACGAAGGCGGCGTACTTCCACCCCTGGGCGATGTTGACGCCGTGCTCGAAGGGGCCGTTCTGGTTGACTTGATCGGCGGAAAGGGTGTCGAGGTAGACGCCGTTGGTGTACCACTGGGTCCAATCGTGAAATCCGCGCTGCAGCCAGTACATACAGTCGAACAGACGGTGCGTCTCAGTGCCGTTGCGGGGGTCGTGGGTGGTGAGCCACTGCAGTGAGAGCATCAGGTCGGCCGCGCGGGCCCCAGACGTCCATGAAGCCGCGAGGGTCATCGTCGCCCGAGGAGATGTACCCGCGGTAGTTGTCGGCCAGCATTGTATGGGTGCAGGCAACGAAGCGGTGCAAAGCGTCTCGGATGCGAGGCGCGCGGTCGGGGTCGGCCTCGGCGAGCTGGGTCAGGGCCAGGACCAGGGGGAAGCGGCCCCAGAGGTCGCGGGGACCGTCGGCGGGCTCGGAACCCAGCCAGCCATCGGACTGCTGGCGATCAAGGACGGCATCGGAGACGTTGCGGGCCTGGTTCCAGAGGCGGGGGCTGTCGGTCAAAGCGGCCAGGGGTACGAGACCGTTGAGCCAGTAGGGCAGGGCTTCGTGGGCGTCGCTGTACTCGTCGGCGCCACCGACCCAGACGCTGTCGCGGACATATCGGTAGAAATCGTGCTCATGGCCGGGGAGTCCATCGGCCATGAGGGCGAGCTGGTCGGCGAGCCAGCCCTGGGGGCGGACGGAGCCTAGCGGGAGCGGGTCGACGACATAGGGGACGAGAGTGGTGGAGCCATTCCAGGGCGGAGGATGCTCCGCGGTTGCGGGGTGCAGGAGGGTCAAGATAATCAGGAAGGCGAGATGACTGAGGGATCTCATCCCTGTCGGTCAGTTAGGGAGATAATCCATGGGGATCGTACGAAGATTGACGCTGGGATGAATGATGTCGAGGAAGAACGAGGTCCTGGTCTGTCCGATCCCCGTGGCAGGGATATGGGTGGAATGTGAACGATATCATCAGTGGAGCCTCTCTGAGGTTGAAGATGAGATATCTAAGAAGAAATTATCGAGAGAGGTGTAATATATCTCTTTGATCGGGTTTGATACGTTTCATCTTCTGTTTCGGGTGCAGGAGATAAATGGTGGTAGTCATGACGGTCCTGTAAAAATATATAGTCGTCCGACGGGGAGATGGATCAAGGGAAATCAGACCAACAGGGCGTATATGACCTTACATAGATAGATATAGATCGAGGACGATAGGAGGATTGATGAAGTGAAGTTGAAGTTGATATAAAACGTCGATGCCGAGGTCGACGTGGTTGGAGAGAGCCTGAGGTATGTTGTCTGCCTGGGGCTGTGATGGCCTAAGGACCTGGCTGCCTGAGGCATACTTAACTCAGGTGTCAACCAAACCCCATCCTCAGGTGTCCACAGGTGTCCACAGGTGTCCATCACCACCTGAGATTCCAGGCGTCAACCTCATCTTCTTTTCTTTTTCGTTTTCTCCTTTTCTCACTTTAACTTCGGCTTCATTTTCTCCTCCTTTCATCTCCATCGTCCATCTCAATCCTACCATCATATCACGTCATCTCCAACATTCCACGATGACTTCCCAGTGGATCCCTTCCCGCCAGGATTGATCCCTGCCCCGTCCGACCATGTACTGTGAGCGCGTTGTCCTGGCTACTGCCCACCATGCACCGTTCCGTCAAGCTGACTTTGCCTCTCTAGGATGTCACCCTGATTCGGATTTGAATCCCAGATCTCTTTCAATCGATTTATATCGTCCATCCTCCTCCTCAGGGCCAATGCTCTCCCCCTGACCCATCGCCGTCACTGTCTCCACTTTTCCCCTCCGCGTGGCTTGGCCGCTTGGGGTTGCTTGGGTCGAGCCTCAGCCTCATTTCTCATCCACACACTCTCTCTTCCCTCTCTCTTCCTCTTCTCCCCTCTTAACCCTCGTCTGTTCACCTCCCCCCTCCTCCGACGTTGGCGTACCACATCTTCCCGCGTGGCTTCTCTACCACCGGCCTTACCTCTCCTTAGACCCTCCACCCTCCCTAGGACCCACTCACACGCGCACACACTCTCTCCCCGGTCCTCCCCGTCATTTCCCATCGACCGTCGACCCGTGAGCCGTCATGGCTCACTATCGAGAGGGCCCCTACCAAGAGGGCCCCTACCAAAACGGCCACTACCAGAACGGTCCCCCCAACGGCTACACCCCCTTGCGACGCATGCCCAGCTACAACGAGGGCGATGATGCCGACTTGCAGCTGCCACGTCCCGACGGTGGCTACGGCCCCAGATCCCCGCCGCGCGTGCGTCCACGGGCGTCTACCCACGCTCCCGTCTATCAGCATCCGGCCTCCTCTTCCTCCTCCTCCCACCATTATCAGTACACCGCGTCCGCCGCCTCGTCCTCCTCCCCTTACAACCCCCAACAGTACCCCACCCCGACCGCCACCCCGACCTCCCTGGGCTATAGTCCCCTCGCTTACACCGGTCCCGCCCACCACCATCCGCCCTACAACCCCGCCGCCTACCAGGCCACTGGCGCCCCCGCCTTCCTCCCGCGCCCGCCCAGCCTGCCTTATCCCCAGACCCCGCTGTCCCCCACGCAACCCCTGCCGCCGCCTCCGCCCCCGCGCGGGCCGGATCACCCCTATGGCGGTCGCGGTGTTTACGGCGTCGCTGCCCCCGGGACCCCATACGGCGTCTCCCCGCCCCCCGTCACACCCCGGTCCGCCGCCACCCCCATCACATACGGCCCCCAATCCCCACGCTGGGCTGAACATCCCATCGAGGACCACCCTCCACCGCCCCCCGTACATGCCGCACCCGTGGAGGACCCCGCCGCCAAACGGGGGAGCCTTCCACGCGTCGGCTCCGGCCGCGCTCTGCCCACCCCGCCCCTTCCCCCGCGGCGCACCGACACCCTGACACGTCACCCGCAAGCCAGGCCCCTGCCCGGCCCGCCCGTCGCCGAAGATCGCGATGGGGGCCCGCCGCCCGCTGCCTACGACGATCTGATGCGGGAAGTCGAGGCCGCCGTGCAGGAATCCCGCGGGGCCAGTGACGACCACAATAACCACGACGACGACGCGCTCACCGACCTGACCCCGGACGAGACGCACACCCACACCAACGGCAACATCTCTACGGGAACCGGCCAATACGTCAATTATGACGCCTACAGCGATGACAGCGACGCAGAGGCCGCCGCCGGCCTCGCTATGATGCAGATGGCCGACGAGGAGGACCGCGCCCTGGCTGAGCGTCGAGCCCGCCGCGACACCGACGCCGGCGCCCCGGCCTCCCTGCGCAGTGCCCACGGGTCCCACTCCTCAGGTCGCGCCGCTGCCGCCGCCGGGTCTCCGACGCCGGCGGCGCCCACCGACTCCGACGACTCCAACGATTACGACTACCCCGCCGACCCCCCCGCCTTCTTTCCCGCCTTCACCCCGTACCAAGCCCGCGTCGATTATGGCGGCACCGGCGGCCTCGCCGACCCTACCGCCTACGGCCGGCGTGCCGGCGACCACCCAGCCGACGAGGCCCACGACGAGGACGAGGACGAGGAAGAGGACGAGGTGGAGGAGGGAGAGGAGGGGGAGGAAGAAGAAGCGGAGACGGCCTGGTCGCCCGCCGGTAGTGCGGGCGCCGGCTCCGACGCCGGGGATAGTGGGCCCGAGGACCTGTTCTTCCACCCGGGCATGCGCCCCCTGCCGCCCGCCCCTGTCGAGCCCGCTCCTGGCGTGCTCGCCCACCTGGTCCCGGCGGGCACCTACCGCCGCCCCCTGCCGATAGACCTGCCGGCCTCGTCGCCTGTGGTGACGACCGGGGATCCCGCCGAGGTCGCTAGCCCCTCGCAGGTGCCGCGATCCTCGTCCCTCTCCACGCACCCCATCGCACCGCGCGCCGAAACTCCCACCCGCTCCAAGACCGATGCCGACCGCGCCCGCTACAAGCCCTTGCCCAACCCCCAGGACCCCACCACCGCCCGCCACACCCTACCGTCCCCTGAGTACGTTGCGCCCGCTACCCCCGCCGACGCGGCCCCCACCCCCCCCGCCGTGGCCCTCGACTTACCCACCATCCCCGCCGGCCGCCGCAAGCGGCCCAACCTCGCCAAGCTCTCTTCCGATCACTTCCGCCGCTGCGCCGAGCCTTGGGCCGTCAGCGCCGTCCTCGCCTGGATCCGCGAGTTGTGCGAGGATGAGACCGACCTGCGCCAGCAGGCCGTCGTGGACGCCCTCGTCGCCCTCTTCACCCACAAGGTCCCCACCATGAACGTCGCCGACGCCGAGACGCTCGCTGCCCGCGTCGTCGCCGGCATGCGCGCCGCTGGCGCCCTGGTCCCCGACGAGGAGTGGGTCAAGTTCGGCCCTGGCACCCTGTCGGGTGTGCTCGTCCCCATCACCGGCACCGGCTGTTACGCTCCGCGTCTGCACGAGTTCGCCCCCGAGGGCGCCTACGGCCGTTGCTACGCCCACCACTGCATGCGCACCCTTAAGAAGGTCAACCTGCGGGCCCAGCCCATGGCGGCCCAGGAGAAGGCTGCGGACTGGGTGACCTTCTACCGCGTCCCTAAGGAGGTCTGGGAGGCCCACCCGCGCAAGGAGATCGACCGCCAGAACAACCTGCATGAGATCGTCACCACCGAGGACGCCTTCATCGCCCAACTCGACGTCCTGCGAGAGCTCTACCGCGACCAACTGCGCGCCATGCAGCCGCCTCTCCTCCCCACCAAGCGCCTCCCCAAGTTCCTGCAGGACGTCTTCGGCCGCGTCGACGCCGTTAAGCGCGTCAACGAGGACCACCTGCTGGCCCAGCTCAAGTACCGTCAGAAGGAGCAGGGCCCCTTCATCGCCGGCTTCAGTGACCTCTTCCGCGAGTGGATCCGCAAGGCCCGCGCCGTCTACGTCGACTACGCCGCCACCTTCCCCCACGCCAGCTACCTAGTGCGCCGCGAGGCCGACCGCAACGTCGCCTTCCGCGCTTTCCTCGGCCAGGCTCGCGATCACAAGCGCTCCAACCGCCTCAGCTGGGACACCTACCTTAAGGCCCCCATCACCCGGATCCAGCGCTACACCCTGCTGCTGACCACTGTCCACAAGAACATGGTCCGCGACTCGGAGGAGAAGGCGAACCTGGCCCAGGCCATCGAGGAGATCCGCCTCGTCGCCCTCGACTGTGATCATAAGGTCGGTGAGACCGCCCGGAAGGTCGACTTGATGGAGCTGGGCGCGCGTCTGCAATTGCGCCCGGATATGCGCAAGGAGGTCGAGCTGCACCTCGAGCACCTCGGCCGCGAGGTCATCCACCGCGGCGACCTGCAGCGCCCAGGCACCCGCACCCGCTTCCTCGTTGACTGCCACGCCATCCTCTTCGACCACTACCTGGTCCTGGCCAAGCGCTCCCGCACCGTCCGCCACGAGTGCTACGACGTCTCTAAGTTGCCCATCCCCATGGACCTGCTCGCTCTCGAGAGTACCACCGACGACCCCGTCGTTAAGTCCTCCGTCCGTGGTGTCACCACCGTCACCCAGCCCCAGGGCCTCGGCGCCGGCGCCATGGCCCCGCTCGTCGGAGGCAGCGGGGGCGGCAGCGGCAGCGGCAGCAGCGGCGGGGGCCACACCCTCGTACCCGCCACCGTGCTCGAGAGCTCCAAGGACGACAAGGTCCTCTACCCCTTCAAGATCAAGCATCTGGGCGTCAACGGCAGCTATGTCCTCTACGCGGCCTCCGCCCGAGATCGCCGCGACTGGTGCGAGAAGATTGTCGAGGCCAAGACCCGCCACGCCGCCGCGCTCTTCGCCCAGAATGCCGAGCCCTTCCGTCTGCGCGTGCTAGCCGACACCGCCTTTGCCCCCTCGGACCATTCCATGCCCACCCGCGGCGTCGCCATCACTGGCACCCCGCTGGACCGTGCCATCCGCGAGGTCGAGCGCCGCTACCCCGCCGGCCGGCCACGCCCGCCCCCCGTTTGCCGTACCACCGTCCACTGCGCCACCGTCTTCGAGCAACCCCCCGGACGCCGCATGTGCGCTATCGGTACTGACTATGGCGTCTACCTCTCCGCCTACGACGATCCGCGAGGTTGGACTCGCGTACGTCTTGCCTCCCCGCCCCTTCCCATGTCTCTGAATTTCATCTAACCTTTCCCAGGTCATCCCCGTCATCCGTGTCACCCAAATCACCGTTTTCGAGGAGTTCAACCTGTTCCTCCTCATTGCCGACAAGTCCCTGATCGCGTATCACCTGGACGTGGTCTGTCCGCCGAGCGGGGTGGCTTCACAGACCACGGCGGATTCGGCCCGTCGGGCGCCGCAGAAACTGTCCGGGGCCCGCGAGGTTGGCTTCTTCGCGGCGGGCCACATGAAGGACCGCACACTGGTAATGTACAAGAAGCGGGATGGCCTGTCGTCGACTTTCAAGGTGCTGGAGCCGGTCCTCCAGAAGTCGGCGTCCAGCCGCAGCCGCTTCTTCACGTCGCGCCGCGCGCAGACCGACTTCTTCCGCGAGTACGACGAGTTTTACATCCCCGCCGAAAGCTATGGGATCAACATGTTCCACTCGTCGCTAGCCATTTCCACCCACCGCGGTATCGAGATCCTGACCATCGACAAGAAGCAGACTTGGTCGGTGCCGGACTTCCGTACCGAGGCGCCCGAGGCGCAGGCTCAGCTGCAGAGCATCGCGCAGCGGATCACCGGTCTGCGGCCGCTGGGCATGTTCCGGCTCAGCGACAGCGAGTTCCTCGTCGTCTACACCGATTGCGCCGTCTACGTGAACAAGCACGGCGACATCTCCCGCAGCGTGGTGATGGAGTTCGTCGGCCGCGCGAACTCGGCCTGTCTGTACGGCCGGTTCCTGCTACTATTCGATGACGACTTTGTCGAGGTTCGGAACGCCATGAATGGCCGCCTGCGCCAGGTCATCCCGGGCCACGGCGTCGTCTGTCTGGACGACGGCAGCAGTCTCCCAGGTTCTGGCGCCAACAGCATCCCTATGCCCTCCGGGGGGATGGTCAACCTGTCTAGTGGCTTATCCAACGGTCCCGCGCTAGCCAATAGCGGTCGCACCGTCAAGATCAGCATGCAGCATCCGGAGTTCGAGCGCAGTCTAATCATCCTCGAATTAATCGAGAACGAGGGACAAAAGGACTGATGCCCGCCTTTTTCTTTCTATTTTGTTTTTTTCTTTTTTTAATTTTACAATGAAGTGAGGCGATCAAGCGTGGTGTTGGTTTTGGTGATGACTTGATGTGCATATTATACCCCAACCACTTTCTACCTCTCCTATTCTCCATCTCCATTCGATATCACTGGATGAATGTATTTTGATCATGTTTTGCAAACCCGTCTAGCATAGAAAGACCCCGTACAGATGAGGAGGGGCCAAGACCTCGTGTCATGATGAAACCGCAATATACTCCATGTACATAATCATACAATGCTGTAGAGACTACCTTACTTGACAATGTCCTGTAACATCACATCAGGTCCTTACTTGAAGAGACTACCACCCACCGATTACTATCTACAACGAATGCCGAGAGATCAGGTCGAATTAACAACCAATAAAAACCATAATTGTCAGTTATCACCCCCAATGTACCTACGCCAGGAAGGGCCACTCGCCCACCTACAATCACAATCTACAGTAGATATCTCCTAGTCTAAGTAAATAATTTAATTCAGATCCGCACAGTAGTAAACACATTCAAGGAAAAAGATCTATAACGCCGAGCCAAGAATAAACAATCCGCCGCATGGGATTGACCGATTGATGGGTTGGTGGATGTGGATGAGTGAGTGTCGGAGGGTCGATCTGTATAAGGAAATATATGGATGTATGTATAGTTTACAGGAAATCGGTCTAAATCCCTGGGATAGATAGATGTAGACTGTGAGAGAGAAGAGAAAAAAATGGGTGGGACACCACACCGTGCTGTCCGCGGGTGAAAGAGTTTAGGTTGATGATGGACAGGTGGATGATCGGTCAAAGGTTCCTAGAACTACGAGTCGAACTCCACCTTACTGACGACATGTTCGTCCTTATCGGTCGCGTGGGAATCATGTGGTGAAGACGAGGCCGGACGACGATTCTCGTCACTCGACGGAGATTGTTTCGCCTCGCTGGGCCCGTTCCCCAATCCGCCCTCCGGGGTTTCATCCAGCAGGGAAGCGGCATCTTTCTCGCGCACGCTGAGGACCTCGGCGCCCTCGAGGAGGTCGCGGTCGGCTTCGTAGGCGCCGGCACCCCAGTTGGACATGCCGCCAACGGTGGTGGGGGTGGAGGCCGATGGTGTCGTGAGGGGCGCCGACTCGTCTTCATCGTCTTCGTCTTCGTCGTCGTCGCCCCGCGCGACTGCGTTGCGCTCCATGTCGCGCTGCGCCTCGTCCATGCGCTTCTTAACTTCCGCGGCCATGCGGATGCCGTCCGTGACGATGTTGTCCAGCACGCCGCGGAGACCGCGACCTGGGGGCACGATGCCGCCCGAGGCGCCCCCGACGGAGGCGCCCGCGCCTGCACCGAGACCGGGGCGCGGCACGTTGATGTTGGAGAACGTGGTAAGATTGGACGACAGCGTCGAGGCGGCGGTGACGGCCGGGTGCGAGTCGACCGACAGGCGGAACGACCGCGGAAAGAACGCGTCGAAGAACTGCTCCAGCAGCTCGTCGGCCAGGATGACCATGCGGAAGGTCGGGAGCGTGATGTGCAGGGGGTTGTTGGGGTCGAGCGCCGGGTTGGCGGATTCTGACGCCTTGCGGTGGTGGGCCGGCGTGGCCTCGTCCCCGACGTCCAACAGGTCTCCCGAGCCGTCGTCGTCGTCGCCAATGCGGACGGACGCCAGCTTGTCAGCTGTCTCGTCGGCGGGGATGCTGGGGGTGGCCCCGGGGGAGCCCCCCGGGGTGCTGGGGTCGGCGTACTCGAAGCACCGGCGGATGAAGGCGCTGACGCTCCCCAGGAAACGCTCGTCCGTGCTCAGAGGCTCGGATGGCTGGGCGTCACGGTCGGGGTGGCCGAACTCGTCCAGCGTCTGCGTCGGTGTGATGGTCCCGTCGAAGCCACGGCGGGACAGGAACAGCAGGGCCTCGGACATGCGCAAGATGCCCTCACGGTCGACGGTGCCGTTGCCACGGTCGTCGTACAGGGTGAAGAAGTACTGGATGTTGTTCATGATGTCGCGCGGGCCCTTGAGGCGCGCCAGGCCATGGACCACGTTCTGGAGGCTGAGACCCTCGTCCGGGTCCGTCGCCCACTTGCGATACAGCCGCCGCATGAACTCGTGGTCGGCGGGCGCGGGCCGGCCGGGGGACGGCGAGCGGCCGAAGCCCCGCCAGCCGGCGGCACCCGAGCTTGCGCCCGAGGGGGAGCGCGAGGGCCCGGGAGAGTCCCCTAAGGCCCACTTGGCCGTGGCGGCAAGGAACTCGCGGAAGCCCTCGTAGTCCATGTGCGAGGGGCTGGGACCCAGACCGACGCGGCCGACCTCGTGGTCGGCGGGCGGGCCCAGAGTGGAGGTGCGCTCGGCGCGGCGCTTCTCTAGGCGGCGCAGCTCCTCTTCCCGGACGCGCTCACGCTGCTGGCGGTCGTAGAGGATCTCGTAGAAGCGGTCATAGATGACGCCGAGGTCGTCCATGCTCAGCTTCTTGCTGTCGGGGCCCAGGTTCCGGATGGAGGTGCGCTTGGCGAAACTCTCGATGTTGTCGAGCACGGCGTCCTTGTGCTTGTCGCGCTCCTCGGTGACGGTGGCGTGGGTGATGCCGGCGAACTCCTTGAAGGCGACGACCATGAGCTCCTGGAAGCGGGTGATCGCGCGTAGCTTGGGGTTCTCGGACCGTGGGTGGGCGGACTCGTCAAGGCGCGAGAAGTACGACTTGAGGACGGAGATGAAGGAGCCGTCGTCCTGGACCTCCAGCAGCTCCTCGCCGTTGACGCGCAGGATGGCCAGGCCGACTTGGAAGAGCACCTTGGGCCCCTCGAGGAAGAAGACGTCGAGCACGCGGAAGGCGAAGACGAGGGGCATGGAGTTGATATAGAGGGAGAGGAACCAGGGCAGTGAGACGACGGACAGCTGGACGTCGGTCTTGTTGAGGTGGTCCCACAGGACTGGCATGGTGCGCTCGACGAGCGACTCGAACACCTTCTGGTCGAGGAGGGTGCCGTACATCGTGGTGGAGTAGTAGCCCGGCAGCAGCCGGTCGCACAGGACGGAGAGGAGGAAGAAGGCCTGGGCCTCGGACATGTAGATCAGCAGGGCGGCCACGACGATGTTCATGGCCTGACAGTAGCCGATCTCGGCGTTGATCCAGCTGTAGGCCGTGAGGACGCGGCGCAGGCGGCCGATGCCCTCCTCGCTCTGGAAGCCAGCATACTCGGGCAGACTGCGGTTCAGGTCCTTCTCAATCTCGTCGATGGCCAGGGATTCCTGTCCGGAAAACTTGGACAGGGTGTCGGTGTAGAGCCGGGGGGACCGCAGGCGCAAGTAAAGGGATCCCGAGCTGATCTCCCAGACCTCGCCGCGGAGGCGATTCGGCAGGCCGACTCGGATCAGCTTGTGAAAGGTGGGTTGCCGAATGAGCGTCGCATTGCGGCCGTTCTCTGCTCAGATTAGACAGGGAAGACAAACGCCACACAACCACGAGGCGAGAGGGGGCCAGCAGGAGAAGAAGTACCTCGGAAATATTCCCCCCAGAGACGCATCTTGCTCCGATCGCGAAGTTTACGCGCATCCCCGGGATAGCGAAACAACATACCCAGCCCCGCATCCGGGGGCGGGCGGCTCTCGGCGTTTTCCCCCGACGGATCCTTGGATTTCACGGCCGTCACGAGAAATTCGGAATAGCAGTCGTTCACCACCACGCGCAGATTCTCAATCTCCTTCATGCCCTCGCGCAGACCCTTCTTCAACCCGTCACAGAAGCGTTCGCAGGCCTGCCTGCTTCCATCCAGCTGCAAGGTGAAGCGCTGGGGCACGAAGACGCCGGCGGGCTGCTTGCCCAGGGCGCCGTTCCAGGTGGTCAGGGCGAGGGAGAAGACATGGCTCACGCTGTTGAGGCGCTCCACACGGCGGATGGCGGACAACGGGATGGTGAAGCCATTGCCCGCCGGACCTGCGCCATTGGTGGGGCCCGCCCAGTGGGTCGAATGTGCGTGCGTGGCACCGGGCAGGAAGCTCGTCGGTTGGGTGGAGAAACAAATGAAGCGCTCGGAGAGGTGCAGGCGACCGGTGTATCGGTTGCCTGGGCGGGGACGCGACTGTTCTGCGGTATGCGGGACCGGCAGGATCAAATCGGCGGTGATCTCCTGCAGGGGGTTCTGGGAGTCCGGCAGGCGAAATTGCTGACGGAAGAGGGACGCCTTGGACGGATTGCGATCGGAGGTGGAGAGGGACGGAAGGGTGAAGTTGGCAGGATCGATGAAAGACTGGGCTTTCTGCACGATGGAGGTCCACTGCATCATGGTGGATTGGACCGTAGAAGCGGTGAGAATGGAGTAGGAGGCGAGAGGGAAGAGGAGATCCGCTACGCCAGCATCAAGCTATAAGCGGGGGGGGTGTTTATTTGTTGCGGGGGGAGGGAGGGAGGGGGGGAGGAGAGGACAAGAGTGGAGGGATCACTGAGAGATGTGGACGAGATCCACGGGGGACAATAGGATCATGGTACCAAAGGAGGCATAAGGGGGATCAACAGAATGACGGGACAATGGGAGGGAAGAAGGGGGAGTGAAGATGAAGCCAAAGTGAGAGCGGCAGAGAGAGGGAGAGACGGAGAGGAGACGAAGTGACGGAATGAGAGAAACGCTGGGAGCCAGGGCGGCGCTAGTCCGTTTTGGGCGGCACGGGGGCGGCCGCACGTTCCTGGCGACAAGGCAGCACGGCAGCAAGGCACTCCGGCACTACGGCAGCAAGGCAACAAAGACACCCATATTGGATTCCTCATTCTATTCATTCTATTCCTTCTGCTCCCTTCCCTCTCCTATTCACCGACAACAAAATGAAAAATAAAAAAAAAAAAAAAAACAAAAAGCTAGATGATAGTATCCCCACTCAGCAGTGCCTCGTATCCCATCTTCAGCAACTCCCTTTCCTCCT